GCAGTATGTCTGGTAGGAGAAGGTAGAAGAGCTGATCGCAAGGAGACATTGACGATCAGCGAAAAGGAAAGAAACCCCGCTGAGCACAAGAAATCCTATGCCCGGTTCCTCGTGACCGCGATAGGCCCCAATATACTCGCTGAACGCCTTGTATGCCATCCTTGATAAATCCAAAGAGCCAGTCTGCTCGGAGAACCCGAACCCATGGAAACCCCTGTGATAGCCAGAAATAAAAAAAGTACTGTCGCTATCATCGGGACAATGGGCACATATTGACGATGCCGAGCCCTGAAACAAGCATCGAAGAACTTATCAAGAAGGGGCATTTCAAGGAATACATCGAGACTCGTCCCTCGAAAGAAAAAGAGGGGGAGCCAAGGAAGAAGCGTCATGATAAAAAAGGGGTGCTCGGTCTCAACTTGATTTTCGAGGGACCACCTTCGCTGGAAATTCCGAGGTGCCAAGAATGTAGCTCGTGAAGCTCATCACGACCCCATTAGAGTAATGAGTGCGGATCGGCGACCATAAAAGGTTCGCCAGGAGGAAGAGATTTCCTTCTCCGAACAGGATGCGGCAGGTTATACCGTTCCCACGATGGCGCCCTTGTAATCACTCCCCTGATAGGGTGCATAACACCCAGAGAATGCTGGGTGGATAACGGAGTGCTGTGAATATCCTGTTTGCATCTACCTTCGAAAGGATGAATTTGGACGAGGCCGACCTGAAGCCTGCCTCGTTCCCATTTATAGGATTCACAGGAAACCATCTACTCCCCAAAGAAACAATCTCACTCCAGTCACGCTGCGGCGATTTTGACGAAGTGACCAGAATGATTGAATTCTTAGTGGTGGACTGCCGTCAGCCTTTAACGGGATCTTGGGCGACCTCTACTAAGACAGTTCAAGGCGGTCACTTCAATTTACCATTGAAAAAGAGTTCCCCCCCCGACGGGGATCGGGGAAGTCAGCGGTTCTCAATGCGCATCGCGCGACTGCTATGTAAGGCAGTCCAATGGCGCACAAAGGAAAGGGCATTCCATGAATGCACCTCGCCAGGCCATGGCGATCAACAGGATCGATCCGACTGGCCCGGTTAGGGACAACCTAGACCCTCGCATTCAAGACTGCCCTTCAGTGGGCCAGTTGAGGACCTAATTGAAGTCCAGGTCGACCAGAAAGAGCCGAGCAGGGTGTTAAGAGTCGGTAAAAATCTCAACCCCAGCTCGCTAACGAACTGACAGGTTTCCTCAGGGAAACGTCGACGTGTTTGCGGTCGCATGTAGATATGGTCGGGATCAGCCCGGACATTATTGCCATGCGTTAAACATCGACAGCGAGGCCAAGCCAGTTCCAAAAAAGAAGAACAACGGATCCGGAGCAGTATACTGCATTGAATGTCAGAAGCGAAAAACCTCCTCCGAAGCGGATCCATCCGAGATGCACTCTACCCGACGTGGGTTGCCAACCCGGTCTTGATAAAGAAGCCAAACGGAAAATGGCGGACATGCGTTGATTTTAGCGACCTCAACAAGGCTTGCCAGAAAGCAGCTCCTTGTCGAGAATCGACAGCTCGTGGATGCCACCTCGGGGCACGAGAGATAGGGAGAGTTACAATTTCCCACCCAAGGCTAGACAATATTCTACCCAAAAGGTTTCAAAAAAACAATTTCCCATCCATCGATAAGATTCCTTTAGTGAGATATATTACCTGACATGTTTAAAGCTACGAAAAGACTATAATACCTTTTGCTAGTTGACTTTATAATTTTGAATGAGGTTGAATAATTTTTTCCACCCAAACTTTATTAAATATATTTTTCACCCCTAGTTTAGTTTATATTAATTTTAGGGTTAATAAATTTAAAAAACAAACTCAATTATTTAAAATAAACTGTGGACTCGTTGGCCACGGTTGCCAGCGAAAGTCAATGTCATTGGATAGATCGTAGGTCAATCTATCCAATGACACTGACGATGTGGTTGGACTCATCGTCAGAGACTAAACCCATATTCTGCTGTACGTCGGCCGGTTTTTATTCTTCATAGATTTTTTTTAGAAGTTAAATAAAAAAAATTGAAATTGGAGATGGGGGTTTAAATGGTTAATTCCCAAGTTGGTGAATAACATTGTCATCCGTTTGTAATTTAGGGGTGTAAAAATATTAACCCTATAATATATTGTGTGCAAACCGACAAGAATGCCTTTTACCGTTAAAAATAATGTTGACTTTTAACAATGGGTGGAAAATTGTTTTTTTTAAACCTTTCAAGGGAAAATTATTTACGCCTAACCTTGGGTGGGTGGAAAATTGTTTTTTTTAAACCTTTCAAGGGGAAAAACAAATTTACGCCTAACCTTGGGTGTGTGGAAAATTGTCACTCTCCCAAGTCCCAAGTGATACACTGAAACCGAGCCATCAGCTGATTAATTTGTTGGTTGCTGACATGATAGGATATGATTTAAATTTATAAATTAAAACTTAATGTCTAGATATGATCATAAATCTGAGCATGCACCAATGTCGGATACAATCCAAGCCGAAGCTGCAACTGCGCCCATATAGCAGTAATTAAGACGAACGCTGTACTAGAAGAGTGAGCTAGCTGATAATGATAAGACAGAAATGAAAGGTAATATGACAAACTCTGGGAGAGCCGCGACTTGCATAAAGAGCACAGGAAGAAGATAGAATTATAATCGAGATAGATAAATGAGGAAATTCTGGATACTTAAGGCAAGCCTAGATTTGGAGGACAAAATTGGTGAGAATAAATATTGTAATATCCGGAAATCTGGATATGAAGAAATTAAAGTGCTTGTGATGGTTGTGACATCTATGGTTATCATTTAGTGGTAGCTAGGTGGCTGTTTTGACAGTAATTTCTTTGAAAACTGTTTTCACAAATGAAATGGTCACATCAGAAAATGGTCAAGTTCATCTCAAAGGCATTCTCCATAGTATATATTATTAGGTTCGATGATAATTGAATAGACTAGCTACAAGCAAGGCATGTATTTAAGCAACGACAGATTAAAATATCGAGTCATTTTCCTGAAAAGTATTCCAGTATGGCAATCGGCAAAATCTCATTTATAACACTTTCCCACCCAAGGTTTGGCAAAATAACACTGTCCCACCCCTCAAGTTTCAAAGTGACACTTTTCCACCCACTGTTACATTCTGTNATCAAGGTGTGCAAAAAAGATTATTAGATATAAATTCTAGAGCATTTTATACACCATGTGGTTGTCATAGTCTTAATTTAGTTCTTTGTGATATGGCTAATTCATGTGCTAATGTTATTACATTTTTTAGAGTGACACAATGTATATAGTCATTATTCTCTTCTTCTACAAGACGATGGAAAATTTTGCAAGATCATGTTTCTAATTTGACACTTAAGCCATTATCACAAACATGTTGGGAAAGTCGTGTTGAAAGTGTTAAAGCAATAAAATTTCAAGCTCCACAGACCACAAATAAGAGATGCTTTATATCAATTAGCAGAAACTAGTGAAGATCCTAAAACAAAAAGTAAAGCTATTTCTTTAGTAACGTATGAGATAGAAAATTTTGAATTTCTATTAGGCATGAATATTTGGTATGAAATGTTATTTGCTGTTAATGTGGTTAGTAAATATTTACAATCTAAAAATATGCGTTTAACTATGTCACAAGAAATATTAGGTAATTTAGCTATATTATCAATTGAAAAAAATTTGAGTTCTAAACTTGAATATAAAAACTTAATTAGTGATTTTGCATCTCAAAAGGTAAGATAAATAAATTTGAAATAATTTTTTAATATATACCTATATTATTAGAAGGCCCCTAAAGCAACTCTTGTCTAGGGCTACAAATGTTCTTGAGACGGCCCTGACAGGAAGAAGACAGAATTATAATCGAGATAGATAAATGAGGAAATTCTGGATACGTAAGGCAAGCATAGATTTGGAGGACAAAATTGGTGAGAATAAATATTGTAATATCCGGAAATCTGGATATGAAGAAATTAAAGTGCTTGTGATGGTTGTGACATCTATGGTTATCATTTAGTGGTAGCTAGGTGGCTGTTTTGACAGTAATTTCTTTGAAAACTGTTTTCACAAATGAAATGGTCACATCAGAAAATGGTCAAGTTCATCTCAAAGGCATTCTCCATAGTATACATTATTAGGTTCGATGATAATTGAATAGACTAGCTACAAACAAGGCATGTATTTAGGCAATGCAACATATCGACAGATTAAAATATCGAGTCATTTTCCTGAAAAGTATTCCAGTATGGCAATCGGCAAAATCTCATTTATGACACTTTCCCACCCAAGGTTTGGCAAAATGACACTTTCCCACCCCTTAAGTTTCAAAATGACACTTTTCCACCCACCGTTACGTTCTGTTAGGAAAATCTATTCTAAAGAAGGGTAGGATAGTCAATTTACATGAGCCTTGCACCAGACTTTATTGCACTTCAGCTTATTAAATTCTTTGTTTATTAGAAAAAAAGTCATTAAAGAAAAAAAAATCTAGTAGCGTTTTTCTCTGCAACAATTGAAAAGATTCGATCTCAGTAATGGCTAACATTAATCTCCCCCGACGAATCATCAAGGTTACGCTCTCTTTCTCCCTATTTCAATCGGTTTCTCTATTTCTAATATCGCTTTCGTTTAAAAAACCGATTCAATTTTGTCAAATGAAGTCTATATAGGAAGGATTACTTGTTCTTTCAGTTTAATGCTCTAATTTCCTTCGGTTCTCGCTCTTTTCTTTCCGGCAATAATTTCGGCCAACAATTATTTTGGATTGAATTTCTTTATCTTATCATGGAGAATGTTACATATGAAATTTGCTACCACCAGTTGCTATTGCCTTCACTGATAGTATATAGCATGAATGAAAGAAGTAGTACATTACTTGATCGATAAACATAGTAAAGAATAATCCAATGAATATGGAAATAAAATCTAATATTCAAACAGTTTTGCTTATCAAAGCTTCAATCATAGTGGGACGAATTCCAAAGGCCTTATGATGAAACCAAATTGTTGCATCAATTTTGTGTCTATTAATTTGAAGGAATTTCATGGGCTCCTTTAAGTATCAACTCAAAGGCATTCTCAATGCATGACTTGAACTTGTGGTGATCTATGAATCCTTTTTCTGTTCCTACTGCAACTCTCAGCTTTCCCATGTAACTTATCAGTGTAACTGTAAGACTCTGCAGTTTAATTTCATCAAATCATAGTTAATGATGATAAACTATGAATAACAGACAACAATTACGTTAAGCATATAGGTTAAGGAAATATATGTATACCTGAGGCACGCCAACCACCATGAAGTAGAGACCTTTAACAGGATGATTAGCCAAAGCCATTTCTTCCACTGGTCCAATCAGATTTGAGACAGTCATGCTTGAGTTTCTCAGTGTACTGTGGATGTATTTAGCAGTTACCTATTTAAATCATCATAATTACACTCATATAAGCAAAATTATTGTATTGAAAACGTGAACTGTATATTCCATTTCCATATGCTTAATTTCCTATTGCAAATGATATTTGATTACTTGGATCAATTATTGATGCCCTATTGATGTTGATATATATTTTCTTAAACATATTCTACAATAATGAGCACCTAATTAATTCTTAGACTACTATGTCAACCTAACATCATTAATTAGGATCCATTATAATGTATTTATTGTATTCAATTCATATTATCTTTACCATAAAAACGTAATATGTTGTAAAAATAATGTTATGATTATCAACATAGTAATTGCCTAATCAAGAATATACCTCAGGGCCTCTAAATCTCCTCAAAGCCTCAAGAAGCTGACCAGTGAAACTAACTGCTAGAGAATCCCTTTTTCTCTTTATCAATTTCTGTGCTTTCAGGACAAATTCAAGTGGGTTTGACGATTCAGCATCAGTTAATTCAGGAACAGAAACATGCAAGAAGCCGAACTGGTTCCCCCATGGCGACTCAGCTTCAGGTTTAACCATCTCCTCAACTGACTTGTATCCGTTAATGTTCCTTGTATTCAGCAACACCAGCGCCGTAGAATGTGCATTAGTCTTTGAGTTATGGCTCGATGTTTGCATATATAGTCTAGTCCCAAAGAAGATTATTCCACAAATCACATCATTTATTGTCTGCAAGAAAGCATTAATTCTTATGGATTATCAAATAATTCATTTAATTGTATCCAAAATTAATTTACATGTATTAATAGCCACGAGCTCTCCTTCAATGATCTACAGTTTTGATAAGGGCCACAACCTTTAAAAGTCAAAACAACTTTACAATTTTATCAGATCCAACCACTGCTGCTGAGTATATATTTTCACAGTAATGAAGAGAAAAAGAAAAAGAAAAAGTAGACCCCTCTTCCTAAACCACTTGCCGCTGACAACAATAATAATTCTAGTGTTGAAACAATTAATGACAAAACTACGGTATTGAGTCACAGGTTCAGTACGTAAAATAAACCGTTCATTAATTAGATTTTCCTTTTAAGTGATGATATTTTGTGGTTGATGTTACTGGACTTCTGGACCTGCATTTTCTTTTTAAGTAAATAGTAAATAGGCAAGAGAAGGGAAAATTAAAGGGGTAAATATTTTTACCACTCCAAGCTTGGTCTTTATTTGTTTGATGTGATCAAGAGAGAATGTCAGTGTTACTATTGTAATAGGCTTAAACTGCACATCAGGATCAGCAGATCGTATTGGTGTTGGATCATCTTCAAAACAGCTACTCTTCAAAAGGCTCCATCCGAAATCTGATACAGTGTTACAAACTGAAGTAAAGAAATTAGGTATAGCCATAAGCATGTTACTATTTTGACTAGTGTCCATTTTGGAAGGCCAATGAAGGGAAGGAAATGTCACTGGAAGAGAGGGATTGTCAGCTCTTTGTAGACAAGAAAGAAGAGCACCCATTAAAGAAAAGCCATCACCAAGGGCATGGTGGAGCTTGAATATTACTGTTCCAGCTGCATTTTTTGTTGGATATTTGAAGATATGAATTTCCCATAAGGGCCTGCTTTGTGGAAGCTGTTCCATGGCTATCTTTGATAAGTAGTCATCAAGGTAATTGTCGTAAGATGCTACTGACAATCCCGCTGGGAAGATTGGAACATTAACGTGGTCTTTGAGCTTCACATCAAACTTCTTCCATTTTTTAACTCCTTTTTTGTCTTTAACCTGGTTTTTCAGAATACCAAAACTTAATTATATATGAATCTCCAAAACGACTTTCATTTTAAGAGTAATGGGAGAAATGAATTAAGTTATTATGATATAAAGCCATGAGTAGAAAGACACATGTTACAATAATCCTGAGACAAAGCTCTTATATGATGAAAGTCAAACTTGTCAGAAAAAAAAAAAAAAATGAACACATGACAACTGTGGAATATGCCCATAATTCAACCAATCAATCAATATACACAACCCCATTTGAGAATGAAAGATGCAATATTTTCATAAGAACAAGAAAAAGGTAACTCTAAATCAACTAGAATATTAGAAACAGGGACATTATTTGTTTCTGAAAAAGATGAAACTAAAAAGATTGACAGAAGAATACCATGATGGAGGAGAAGCGAGGGTTGATGGGGAGGAACACATCCTTAAGCAATAACATGGTGGAAGAATCATCAATAGGAATCTGAGATTCCAGAACACCAAAAACACAAATTGACAGAATAGAGCTGTTGAAGTACTGTCCAGTAGGGCTTACTGGCTCTGATACATCATCCACATTCAACTCCATTCTAGCTAGTTACTTGATTAACTTCTTCTTTCTTCTTGAGCCAGCTATCTATTTCTCTTCTTATTAACCGATTAACTTGTGATATTATTTAAAGTCTCAACTTAAGAGGCTTGATATATATTCATTTTGTGGAAGACTTTAGTTTTGACCTTCATGTGATATTAATTAGATTTGGGTGAGTGTAAAAACTCAAGGTGGTTGTGGATCGAATTTCTCTTTCTGCTTTATTATCAGTAGCTGAGATGCCGGATGGTAGGTGATGACATACAGCATGGTATTGATGATTTTCATAAATGCCGCTATTAATGGAGTCTGCAATTTTGAAGATATTATGCGGCAGAACTCCGTAATCAGATACAAAGGTTAATTAGTACTCCGATACTAATTACACGTCACACAGATAAATGTTTTGCGTTAGTATGACTATGACCATGAAGCAATGAGAAGACATTTTGATTTTTCTCTATAGTTCTAAACTGATATGATATTCAGTGGTTGCCCTCAAAATGAATGCCAATGTCATGGTCATTTCAATCATTTAAATTAAAGGTTGGAAAGTACTTACCTATATCCTTGTAAGACTTTGAACATTAAAATTTAAATCCAAATTTATTACTATGTTCTTTAAAAAAAAGAAAAAAACTAAATACCAACGAGAACCAAACCAATAAAAGTAAGTAGAAACAACACTATTTGCATATACAACATGTATTAATTCATACTTACTAATGTAGTAAATAAATCAAAATGATAAAACCACCTTTTCACATGAGATGAGATCAACTAAATAAACTAATTCATATTTACATGGAGAAACAACACTATTTGCATACACAACATGTATTAATACAAAAAAAATATGTAGTATTACATTACATACCCATAATGGGCGGAATTAAGTATCCAACAAGGATTCAACCGTTCTAAACCCATGCTCATCTGGTAGAGCTCCATTTCCTGGCCGGATGGAGATTATCACTTCCAAACCTGAATTAGTTATCCAAGTCCACATTTATATTAATTAATAACAATTGCAACGACAACAGTAGAGTTTATTGTAATGCAAACAGTGAAGAAGGTCTGCACTCTCTACTCTTTTTAACCTAAATACTAAAATGAATCCAAATCGGTGTGACAAGTAGATTTTGTATTGGTAACAGACTACAACCAGGTTATTCCAAGCAAAGCTGCAGTCTATGGAAAGAATGGAAAATAGATACAGATAAAACTGCCTAAAATTTTGCGCTGTTTTTCTATATTTCTCTTAAAATTATTCATCTCCTAAATATTCCAAGCTCTTAAAGGAGCTCCACATAGATAAAGGCAACTTAAGATAAGAAATAGCGCATTACCTGCAGCACTGGCAGCAACAGCTTCTTGGAAGACATCAGTCACAAATAACATGTCTGCTGGCCTATCCACTCCAACTGTGCGCAAAATCTCCAGGTAACTATGGCTTTCATTTTTGTTTCTGCACGTTAGATTAGGAGATAACTTCCATGAAATTAAAAAAAAAAAAAAAAAGGCTTGATAATTGATTAACAGCTAAAGACACACACAAGAAGAGAACTTACCCCACCACAGTGTCAAAAAATCCACAAAAGTATTTTCTCAAATCCCCATAATTGGACTTTGCAAATAGAAGCCGTTGTGCTTCTCTGCTGCAATTTGAGTATATGTACACCTTAAATGAGAGCAACAAAAGAAATTAGCACTATTATATTGTTTTACAAGAAGCACTCAAGCACATAGATCCAAATGGTAAATAACAGATTTAGAGAAAATAATATATCAGGTTCTAGTAGGAATCACTTTAGCCAATATCTCGTTAATCAACTGTAGCACATCAACAATCAAACCAGAAGAAAAAGAGTTCATTCCAAAAACACATACCTTGATGCCTGCAGCATGCCATCTCTCAAGAACTTCTGGCACATCATCATATAGAATGCCCACCAACTCATTATTTTGAAATCCAGTCCTCCATATATGACCCTTGCATGTATGTAAATGTAATGAGAAGAAATTTATTAATCAAGATGAAGTCCCCTATACACACCAGTAATAATCTTACTTGCAGTTGTTTTAGGGCAATGACTTTCCTGTCAGCCCTGATCATTGCTTCCACATTGGCAACCAAAGCAGGAATCACCAAATCTTGTCCAACGTAATCTGGTGGGACAGCCACAGCTCCAGCAACACCTTGATCCAAATCATTCTGAATCTGCATAATAGAATGATTTTCTAATTTGATACGTTATTTATGTTACATAATGTATCCTGATTTATCCCAGACATCTCAAAATTTTAAACTTCATGATTTTCTAATTTGATACATAATGTATGTTACAGGAGCAACACAGTTCACAGCAATAATGACAGAAAAGAAACTTACCTGAGAACGCAAAAGATGAATATCATCTTGAGTTTCTTCACTGTCAAATGTAGCAGCTAAATGTTTCTCTACATTACCATGGGCATAGGAAAAAAGAATATTACTAACAAATGACAGGGGGGTCATAGTTCCTTCTATGTTGAGCAGTACACAACACTGCAACATTAATAATATAAGGTCAAAGAATAAGGAAACAATATCAAAAAACAAAACAATCTCCCACCAAGTTTAATTATAGAAATACTTGTTAGAAAGTAGCCATAAGAGAACAGTCATGACATGTTCCAGAATTAATTCTAGGCTGACAACAAACCATGAACTTACTTGGGAAGGTTCAATCACATAATCCAAAGTAAGAGACCCAGCCTTCAGAGCCCTGCTTAAATTCACACCACATCCCCAAACTCCCTGGATATTGTGAATTGGACCATGGGTTGGAGTGGACCAGTCCAATCCCAACTGATGAAGCTTGATAGCCGCATCAAAGAGATAATGATAGCATTCAGCCTAGGGTAAAAACTTGCATGAGGAATATTTAAAAGAATTCATCTTGCACAGACAACGTCGGTGCTCTAATCTAACTTATTTTGTTGCAGACACATCACATCTACCAGAACTGTGTGCATCATCAGTTAATTTAATTCATTTTCATGGCATCATTGAATTCCATACATAAGCAGCAAAATGTGGAATTTCAGAATTTCCCAAGTATGCACAGCAAATTGTAGAAACTCAAGGAATACATGCAAGAACTTTACTGTTTCTCCTGTACACACATAATAACTGTAAAATATAAACTTAGTAGTAAAGAAACAATAGATATCTATTTTCACCTTTGCTATCTGATAATTTCCAGAATTTTACAATTTTTTCTCCAACTTATACCTGGCACATTTCTCCATTCCAAATGTAAAAATCATCATTCTATAAAACAAAATCTTAAAGTTTTACATTCTGGTTGTTTTTTTTATTAGTGGGCATCACTTAAATGTAACAAAGGCACCATAATTTTTTTTTTTTTAAATTTAACCTAGCAGAATAGCACTTCCCCAATAAAACTGGCAAGCTGAATTATATTAATTAATTATGGCTGAACAGAATTCTGAGAATTTCACAAGAAAAAGCAAATTTTATACATGACTAACCTGTGTTTTGGCACTAATCCATGAATCTCCCCAAATATATACCCCATGGTTGCGAACAAGTACAGCTGTTGCTTTCGGGTATGCACTGATCTGTATATAAAAACTTAATTAAATTCAACAGTCATTTTCAATGAAAGGACTAACGTAAGTTTTGATTAGAGATGTACACGGTTTTTTAGACCAAACATTAGTTGAATAGGGAAGTAAAGCATTAAGCAGAAAAAGGGATGCAAACTAAAAAGAAAAATTATCACTCTGCAAACAACAGATAAAGATACCCACACTAAAACAAGAAATGGGATACCCCAGTAGTAGATTTTTGTATGCCATCACATCTATTCTATTTATTACAAGTTGAATAAAGTTCAAAAAGTTTTGTAAAATGAGAACAAGCTACAGCATGTACTGGGCATAGGAAAAGGAAGGTACCGCTTCAGTAAAGGACTCCGTGAGTTCCCCTTCATGGGCAGAGTTCTCAATAATTGGGAGCACAAGCTCATCATGATAACCATGGCCTTGAATTCCTTTTATCATCTCCATATGAGTGATCTAGAAATTTGAAACAAAAACTGTCACATTAAAACAACTATGAAACAGCCAAGAGATTTTTTGTGCAATATAAGAAATCTATAACACTACACATATAAGAAAATCCATAAATACATTAAAATATCAGAAGAATACATGATAGTTCCAGGTGTCAAATTTCAAAACATTAGTTCTAATAAAGCCAAAAAAATACTCCCCCTCAACACTGTAAGTGCCAATCATGAATGATGGCAGATTAGACCGACATATTAGAACCATAAACTATTTGCACCTTTTGACATAGTCAAGCAATATAAGGTAATACCAAAACAATATATGTCCCATTGAATGATGCTCCATAAGATAAGACTTAGACACTAAATAACATAGTTCAGCCAAATATTCAAAGCCAAGCAAAAACATAACTAATACTACTTAGCATGGTAAATGCCTGGATCTTATTTCTAAATGTTTGATGCTCAAGAACAATATCAATAGTGACTGTTCTTCCATGCAACATTTTCTATTATTTTGCAAGAACTCCAATTTCTGGCATTGAGAAATGCACTACACATATTTGCAGGGGCATAAACTGAAAAATCTCTACCTATAATGTACTAGTGCTCGCAAATTGCATAAAAACTAAAAAAAAAAAAAAAAAAAAAAGGAAGAAAAGGGAAGAACAAGAAGAAGATGAAAAGAAAAGAAAGAGTTTGACAGGTATTGAGAAAAAAAAACAAATATTAAATCAGAGAAAGAAAAAGCAAGAGTTAAATCGTTTACTCTCAATTATAGTTTGTCAAGATTCAATATATTACACGGAACTCCTTTGAGAAAGGATTCATCATCGTTACAAGACAAGCCTCAATTCCATGGCTGTGAATAACAGCCCCAGCATCACAAATTTCATAAACCTGAAGAAAGAACATAAAATGCATAATTACTAATTAATGAGCAACATTTAGTTATGATAAAGGTCAAGTACAAACAATATCCTTTCATAGCAAAATAAGCTTCAATATAAGCAAGTTAAACATATCTCACAACGAGACACTATAATGTTTAAAGCACCCAGAAAGCTCCATATTCCAAATGCAAGGACTGTGCTATCAATAATGTCATCACAGGTTTAGCTTTTACATTTCAAATTGCTGGAAAACCGAATATTAAGATAACTTCCGCTTTTCAGCAATCCCTTCTTGGTTTTCTGAAAACCATTTTCATTTCATCTAACCAAATAAAAAGAAACGGCATAACACCCATAAATAATTACACGCAATTCCTCTGTTCAACATAGTTGATATGGTTAAAAAGATAAGTTAACCTCTGCATCATACATGCCAATTAAAAGAAAGAAATGAATAAGTAAACAAGCACCTTCATGAAAATATGACCACAATCAGTACACTTAGGAAGCCGGTGAGGATATGGCTTAAGAGGAGGTGATGACAACAAGAATCCATCAGAAGATAGCACATACATGTCCTCGGCAACCATTCTCTCCTTCTGAACACCTATATAAATAATAAGCCGCAAAATAATAGCCAAACAAACCCAGCAAACAAAAGGGTTTTTACAGCCACGCTTGAAGAGCGAAAGAGGAAGGGGGTACCATACCAGAAGGGGACATGACAATGAGCTGGTGAGGCCTGGGAATGGCATCATCGTGAACTTTGATTGTGATGCTGCCACCTGTACCCGATACCCAACCAAGTGTATAAAAGTGGCGGCAAAGCTCTGCGGCTAGAGCGCAACTTTCACCAACTGTTTTACTCTCCATACACACCGGGGATGACCCTGTAACTTCTAAGCCGTTTTGGAGGTGTGGTTGCGTCAGCTTGGTTGCACCGTTGACTGCGTTTATGGCAGTCGATGATGATGTTGAAGGCTCCATCTTCTTTCCTTTGAAGACACATAGAAAGACGAGAAGAAAGATAATCAGCATATCATTTATAACTGAATTTCTCGACTCTTTGTATTTCTAAGCTTTCTGACTTCTGACATTAGAGACAGCAAGCGAAATGTTTCATCTTCTTTCATGCTTCGTTACCAGCATTCTATCGCAGACTACTTCTTCTAACACCACGTGGTATTAATATATGATCACCACGTAAAGACGTTGTTAATTAGACTACATGTTTACTGTTTATTAAGCTTGTTATAATAGGATTATTCACGTTCATTCAATTAACATATTCAATATAAATCTTTCACATTCCCCGTTAAATTTGATAAATTACTAATAATTCTCTTGTGAAATATTGATTTCCATGAATATTAAGAGATTGTTATAATAGAAATTATTCACATACATTTAATTAATATATTCAATACAAATCTTTCACATTCCTATTTTAATTTGAGATCTTTCACATTCCTTTTTTAATTTGATAAAGGTACAAGATATCTTTTTACATTCACTAAATTCAATAATACATTTTATTAATTTATTAATATTTAACGTTCATTCATGCATATTAATTATTATTATTAATTAATATTAATGTTTTTGTATCCATTCACATTTAATTAATTATTATTAATATTAATATATCTTAACCCCTTCACATTCAATTAAACAAAAATATGAAATATAATAACGAAAAATGTTTTTTATAAAACGTATTATCATTTAACATTCAATATAAATCTGAAAATTTTAAACTCATCCAATAATAATAAAACAATTAAATCAAAATAACCATAACCAATAGCATACAAACACTTACTAAAAAATATCAAAAGTCATATTAATTAGCAATAATCCAATTACATTGACCATAACACGAACAATTGTTGTAATCATTAATTATCATATAATATTACTCAATGACATCTAAAGCTATATAGGAGTAGATAATTCAACAATCCATACACCTTCAAATATTTTTTTCATTTCACACATAGACCATTAACAAATGAAAGACAAAAGACCAACTATTGTCAATTCAAAATCCAAACAAACAGAAGCGTGCAATAAATAACATCAATTAATTACTTTTATATTCTTTCTACATATCTACTTTTACATGTCCATTTTTTTTATATTTAGTAGGTCAAGCAGCAACGTCAGATGGTTCGCCTGAACTGGAAGGTATTCTACAAAACCTTAAAGTCATGTTGGACAAACTCAACACTGCCAGAGTGATGAACAGAGATATAATGAATGCTTTGTTAGAAATAACTGGCTCAACCATACATGTAATATTCGATTTACAGAAACGTGAATCACTGATTATTACCAAAGAAAAGGAACTTGGTATTCCTCAAAAAAAAAAAATAGAACTATATATATAAACAGATTTATTATCAATAAAATCAATAAAAGATTCATAGTATATTGAATGATGATACGGAAGCTAATATAAATACTGTTTATTCTACGGTTAACGCATAATAATTATTAAATATTATATTAAAAAAATGAATACCCAAACACAACTTATTAATGTTTCCAATAATTTTTTTAATTGTATAGTTATATGACTTAAAGAAACTTAATTAAATTAAAAAACTAAAAAATAATTTTTTTTTGGACTTTCACGTTAAAAAAAAAAAATGGTATGATTCAAAATTCCTGGAAACCCAAACGTTTTTTCCACCTTTTCATTTCCAGTGCTCATTATATCAACCATCGTAATAACATCCTTCAACAATTATGTCTAATTAGCAAAAAATAATGGTTTAAATTCGACTTATTTATATTTAAATTGCAAATTCAGATAATTTTTGACTTCATGGTTTCAATTACCGGTAATAATTTCTCAAAATAATATTTTAAATATATTCACTAAATCTAACTATTTATCACAATCTCTTAGCTATTGATATTCTACATATGTACATTTAATCTAAACATGATAATATTCATCAACCCTTCAGTTATCACAACAATTTAGTGGAAACTATGCACGAACTATGTTCAATAAATGTAACTATTTACGAGAAACAGTCTCTTGCTATTCTGCCTTTTCGTATTTTGTTGTTCCTATATAAACATAACAAAATACAATTTGAAATATCACACAATACTAATTTCGTTCTACTTTAAAAACTTTTATTCGCCATGGCAGAAGCATAAAGAACAACAACACACGGTAATAAATATTGAACCATATATCTTATATTTAATGTCATATATCTATTCTAATATGAGTGTGCATGATTTACAGATGAAGTAACATCATTCCAACCACAAAATGAGGTCAAAGAAATTCTCAAATATGTTGACACTAGCATGGACGATCTCGAGGATGCCGCCCAAAAATTGAAAGTTATTATCCATGGTCTATTAGAGATAATGAGTTCAACCATGGATATTATCTTTGATTTAACTCGATGTGAGTTTTTAGTTGCTGCTAAAGAGGTTGAACTACAGATAAGACAACAAAATAAGTAGAAAAACACTATGTATATAGTTTTTCCTTTTTACCTCTATTATCAATAACATAATTAAATAAAAGTACATAGTATTCAATTCCTGCTGAATTACAAACTGACCATTTTAATCTTCCATCATTTGCATTTTATCAAATAAACAGAGGAATGTAAAAAATCTGTACTACATACATTAATTGAATGTATGTGAATCATCCATATTTTATCAACATCAATAAGAAGCAAACACAGAGACCAATCAACGACATCCTAAATGACAATCATATAACGATTCTCAGCAATCTTTAAACATAAAAACCCAATTTAAAAAAAAAAAGAATAATAACAAAATGTTTTATTATAATCAATATTTGACATATTTTTTTGTAAAACAATAATCGTTTACAATTTCTTAAAATATAAAAATTTGATAATAAAATAAAAACAATATAATAAATAAACCAACGCGCATGCAACTCCGTTTTAGTATATGACACGTGTACGTGGCAGACAATTCTTTTTTTTTTTTTTTTACGTAGCGAAGTGCGGTGCTATCGTGTGGAGAGGATTATGCTACATAGTGCATCACATGGTTCCACGTCACCAAGTTGTTACTTGTTCTGTTTATTTCCTTTAAACATTACTAAACAGCGTGGGCTTAGCTTCAGCCCACAACATGTGATTAATAACTGGAAACTGTAATGAAGCTTTTAAAAGTAGAGACTTTCCCGGATTTTCAAATAATTATTTGCCCAACAACTAATGACTAAAGTTAAAATTAAAATTTGCAAATAATAATTAAATAAATTAATAAAGAACGAAGAGTATGATACCAGCGTCAATTTCAGTAATACCATTTTAGTTATAATTTTTTTATACCAAAAAATTCGATTTGATATTATAAAACATAATGTAGGTAATAATATAAAATTTCAAACTTATGAACACATGCATACAATACTGATATCGAGAAGAGTAGCTCCAATGTTGTTGCCAACTCGATAAACAATATCAGTTAATAACGCCAAATCAATTCTCACAATCACGACCGTTAAAATAAACAAAAAAAAAATGAACTTGAGAATAGCATATTACTCTGGTTATTTTGGTCTATATAGATTATGGACTAAGCCACCGTAAAATTCAATCCTCTCCTTGTTATATACATAAACACCTAAAAACACACACAAGTTGAAACATACAACTATATTGACAACAGGAGATGATCATATAAGTTTTACCCAACAAATTATACAAATACGCCTTGAAATTGTCCATTTTCAGGTTAAATTCTAAATGCTCTTCACCAAAAGAATATGCAAAAGTTAATATGTTGAAGTCTTCTTCTAAAATGCCCATTCAAATAGATGAGCACTTCATTGTTAATGCAGACAAAATCTCTAACATAGTTACTGTAAATTTATCATGTCTGAAATTAAAACTTAAAAGGAAATAGTCATGCAAAAAGCTTCAGAAAAAGGTAAAGTGATTACCCACCTTGAACTTATAATTAACTTGGCCGAAAAAATCTTCCACTTGCATTTATAAGAAGTTTTCATTTGTGTATATCTGTGTGCAGAACAAGGGCAAAATGTTGAAAAGGGGACTACATAAGCTTGACATTTATGCTTCAAATCATTTTCTTTCACTGTAAACTGAAGTTGAAGGTAGAGTACATTAAACATATGAGTAAAGAAGTTTCACCTAATCTGTATCAAAAAAATTCCTCTCTGCGACAAGTAAGCTGCAGATGGAAGAGAATTCTAAATAAGATAGTGAAAAAGGACACAGAAATGATAAAAGATTTGCACACCTTGTTTCTAATAGGGAAACCATTTGCCATAAGGAATAACAATGACCATGCATAGGCTACATACGTGAAGATCATGACTGAGGATAATCAGGAAACTCTGGAAGAATACAAAGAGTTAACTTTTTTGCTTCTTCTTCTTGTTCTTTTTTTTTTTTTTTTTTTTTTGGCACTAAAAACAGATTCAAGCTGCTACCATTCACAGTCCTCAAGGATTGTCACTATATCAATACTTTTAATGACTAATGGCTTTTCAGTACCAACTGCATCTTAATATGAGAGATTTCAGTGTGTAAACGCCAGAAAAGCCAATTTCAATTGATGAGCAAGGGCCTAACATGGTTAAGATCTAATCAAAGAACAAAACTTCTTTTCCCTTTCCTTTGGATTAAAGGTATCCATTAATATGATATTGATAGGAGCAAGTTAACCACTAACAAATATGCAAGTTATTGATAACATCATAATTTGCATTAAATTCGCTTTAGTTCACTGAGACAGTGAGACTGAAGTAACTTCTAAAATCACAATTTCTTCTGAAGATTGCATGTTAAAATTACTCTTAAAAAGAGGACCACATTTGTAATAAATCAAGACAGAACAGTATCACAACTTTGTTGCCCGGAGCAGTTTGTTTTTGAAATACAGCTTTATTACAACATAGAGACACCAAATTCTACTAGCAGGCAAACAATGTAGTTGTAGTCATATATAATTAGGCTGTTTAACACTACCTGATGTGTAAAACAGCCACAACAATGATATCTTAGCTTCTATAGTGCAGTAAAAAATGTCACATAAAGAGGTCTAAGTTGATTTTTTGATGTAATATGCAGCAATCGACCAAATTCTACTATACAAAGTCCCATACATTTGTAATGCATGTTAAAGGGCAGAGCAACAAGTTTAAGAATCAAGCCAGTTTATAGTTGAAGCCGAATTTGGTGTGAAAAAACATAAATGACAAGAATGGCATCATGCAACAAAATTGGATTTTCCTCACCTGATAAAATCTCGCGCCGAATTTTAGCTTTGACATTGTAAACATTCCTCGAATCTGATACAAGACTTGGATTTCTCTTCCTTAAAGCTTTGAGAATCTGTCGTGGCTTTTTACCTGCGTCAGTCATTTCTCTTATCGTTAACACCTCTTCTTCAGTAAAACGCCGGCAAGAAGGGTGGTCAGAAATTTCTTTAGAAGGTTCATGACTGTGTTCGGCAGATTTAATGGTGAGTGCCCACACATCATGATCTTCTTTCCCAACAACCTTAAAGGGACAATTAGTAAGGCGTGAAGGCGTCTTTCTTTGGCGCATATTTTCACCAGTCTTGAGCCTTTTGCGATAAACGCCACCTCTATCACACGAAACGCTCACATATCTATCCCGGGAAGAATCTTTAATCGATATCATATATCCCTGTGTCAACGCAAAGTCGCGAACATGTTTGAGAAGGTCTTCGCGAGTCTGGAAGGCTCTAACTGGTGGAGGTAGCATCTTTTTCAAGAGTACGATCATCATCATCTTGACCCTCCATCTTCACAACTTTGAATAAGATACCTAAACAAACACGAGCATGATTACATGGCTAAAACACCAAATCTCACACCATTGATTTCACTAATCCATCATAAGAACATAAATCAAACGCCTAGCAGACGACAAAATCGAGAATCATGGAGAGGTTATATAATTAAACAAAAAAGGGCTTCAATCTTACTGAAGATATTTATACAAGCTTACCTAGAGTTTAGTTTTGTGGCAATGCATGCATATGAAAATGTTACTTTGGCTTTCGAATTACAGTCAAAATTTATTTATTACTCTTTGAATTCACTGATTTTGAAACAAATATAGATTTATGAAGCTAGTTAAAGAATGAGTTGAGTTAATTGAGAAAGTAAACAGTACGTACCGTTTTGAAAGAAAGAAGCGAGTGCCATAGAAGTGTGATTGGAGCAGTGAGGGAGTGTTGGGAAATTTGGAAGATGAGAAACAAAAGAAATTGGGACCTTCCAAGGGAAATTGGCGTATTGCCAAGGATGATTTGCTATTTTCTCGTTTTCTAGGGGCAATATTGTCATCTTAGGTCCCTACTAACTTGTTTGGCTACAAACGTTACCTATTTAACAATTACATGTAGATGTAGAACACTTATTTGGTCGAATATTGTTTTTAATTAATTTTACAACGTTCATAAAATTGTATAAATTAAAATTCTCTCCTAAAATCTATCTTGAACGAACAAATTTAAGACTTAACATGAGTATAATAATAAGTTGTCTTCCTCGTAAAATCAGTAGTTGCATGCATATGTGTAGGTAGGTACCATCTTTTTTTTTTCTGAGAAAGCAATATGGAATCATCCAATACAAATTAATCATAAATAATTTCTTCTCTTATAACAATACAATCACTTCATAATCTTCTTTGAGTGTATATATACTTAAGGACAACGTTCATGATAAACTGAAATCGATTAAAAAGCTAAACTCAATTTATTCAAATTATGAAATTAACAAAGAACAAAACAATTATAAACCATCCCATTCCCATTCTCTACTTCACTTCATAACACCAACCATTAATCTTCATAATCACGCAAAAAACTAAAACTAAAATACCCCAATTAAGCTACCTAAAACCACACTCGCTACAACACTAAATCCCAAAACCGACCCAGCTGAACTAGCTAAGCCTGCTGAACCGGATTTTGAAGGAGCCGGCGCCGGAGAATCTATATCCGATGAATTTCCACTAGACGATTTTGGTGGCTCCGTAAGAGTAGACGGCGGAGTACTAGTGTGTGGAGACTCCACTGGAGGTGACAAAGAAGGATGAGATGCAGGAGATGAAGAAGCTAATGGCGAGGCTGCTGCTGGAGAAGGAGAGGGAGGAGCATGGTGGTGGTGGTGGTGTCTCACAGCCATAACAACGATGATGACCTTTTGGCCGTTGTTGCAGTTGTCGGCATTGCCACTGATGAAGTAGTGTGGACCTGAGCGATTGAAGTGGAAGACTGAGTCCCCATCTGATAAGGATTGTATGGGATACTTTGTGTTGCATGAATAGTAATCATCTTTGTTGACGACCAACACAGAGTTTGAATCTTTGTTGTACTTAAAATCTACAAAAAAAGAAAACGAGAAGCAATAATCAGAATAACCAATTTAAAACAAAGAATTGGAAATCAAACGCCAGAAAGAAAGAGACGTGGGGCTTACAGAGAGTATCATTAACTTGAAACCTCATTCTTTCAGCCCAGTGATTGTAACTCTCGGAGGGTTTTAAAACCCACCCATCTTTGCCACCAACATAGAATTTGTAAGCCTGAGAGGAGGTAATCAAACCCAACAACACAGCAAACAAACAGCTACAAAAGCTCTTATACTCCATTGGAAAATAAGCTGAGAAGGAAGACCGGACAACTTTCTTTCAGTAGTAGTAGTAAGAGAGGATAAGTGAAGAAGAGACAGGAAATGAATTTATAGAGAAAGTGATGAAAAGGTTACCGTTGCAGAGCATGCAAAACGCAGTGGCCATAATAAGGAAGCTTGGCTGGAAATGAGGTGTAATTTTGGTTGTTAATGAGCAGGCGTTTCGAGAGAGTGAGCGAGCTATAGAGCCATTACACGTTGCGACATGCGAGAGATGCAACGGTTATCAGTGTTAATTACAAGATTCTTTTTATTTTCATCATAAACGCCTTGGTGTTTCTTTGTTTGTTTTTGTTTTCATAAACTAGTTCCTTCTTCCACATTGATGTTTGGGATGATTTCTGTGCTTTGTCACGCAAAACTCATGTAAATGCGCTACCATAATAGTAACAGATGTAATCTCAAGTGCTGGATTTTATATAATTTTTGTAATAAATGAGTCCGTTAAGAGAGAATTTGATTCCAATATTGACCTATTTTTATACTAAAAGAGGAATTCCAGTCAAAATCTCTTTACTTTTTAAGAAATTAACAAGATAAAAATATGAACTTGCATTATTAAGCTTAATAAAGAAAGGTTAGGTTATAATATTAGAAAATTTTGACTTTTAAATATTTAAATAAATTTGTATGAGAAGTTTTATTATTGATCAAGTATATATGTATTCAAATATATTAAGCTGATGATTAAAAGTAATGTTATTTACTTCAATGAAATTTAAAAATAATACTACTATACATAGCTTGTTTTAGAACTCCACATGAATGATTATATTAAGATTTCTTAACAATTTTATTCAAGTTTTTTTCAGTTTTGATTTGACTGTTTAAGATTTAAAATTTGTTTGTAATTAAGGCGGCGTTTGGCGGTTGACTCTTTTAATTTCTGGAAACACAAACCCCTTTGAACCTAAAATTCAAGACCGCTGCCAAATTATTTCTGAAAATTCCCATGTCATTGCTGCGCAGCTTTAAAGAAAGCCTGAAACCCTGCTCAAGCATCTCAAAAACATCACAACCCTCATTGTTATCTCATGACTCGTCATCAATCAACCCAAGAAAACCCCCCAAATCCTCTCTCTCACAGCAGCTTCTACGCCTTGAAGCAGACTTTTCTTTCCCCAAGCAAAACCCTGAAACCCAACGAGAATTTTCAGTTGAGAAGAGCAAGAATTTTGATAAAGAAGAGAAAATCAAGAATTTTGATGAAGAAGAGAAAGAGCCTGAACGTGAGAAATTTGGGAGACCCCAACTGGGTCAGTTTCAGATAGATCATACGGGACCGTTTGAGCCGTTGCTCTTGTCGGAAGATGGAGAAGTTCCTTTAATACAGGTGATTATTTAAATAAATTTTCTTTCTCGGTGTCAAATTGTTTTTTTTATGATCAAAAGTCGAATTTTGGTTGAGAATCTATGTCTTTTTAATTGCAGGTTCCTGCATCTATTAACTGCAGGTTGCTTGAACACCAAAGAGAGGGAGTAAAATTCTTGTATAGACTATACAAAAACAATCATGGAGGGGTTCTTGGTGATGATATGTGAGTACATTGTTATATTGATGATATTTAGTACTTTCTTTTTATGTGACATTCCTACCTCTTATTTGCTGTTGTCGTGTTGGTGTGATGTATAAAGGAAATATGGACCCTGTCTGTGAAATTTCGTGAATGTATATAAACACACACAGGGTGGCATTTGTATGCTACACAATTCTGTTTGCTTTTTCGTAGTCAAACTTTTTATTGTGCTTATGGAGTTCACATTTTGCTTTATAAAATTGTAACAGGGGGCTCGGAAAGACAATTCAGACAATTGCATTCCTTGCTGCTGTTTTCGGAAAAGATGGAGAATTGGGAGACTCCACAATATCAAAAGAAAATAAGGTTGGCAAGAAGGGCTCTGTTCTGATAATTTGCCCCACTTCTGTAATCCACAACTGGGAGATTGAATTCTCTAGGTGGTCTACCTTTAATGTCTCTTTTTACCATGGTTCAAATCGTGATTTGATTCTTGAAAAGCTTGAAGCATATGGAGTTGAGGTACTTATAACCAGTTTTGACACTTACCGAATTCATGGCAGCATCCTGTCAAAGGTTAAATGGGAGATTGTGATTGTTGATGAAGCACATAGGCTTAAGAATGAAAAATCAAAACTTTATACAGCATGTTTAAAAATTAAAACTCAGAAACGTATTGGTCTCACGGGGACCATTATGCAGAACAAAATTATGGAACTGTTTAATCTCTTTGACTGGGTAGCACCTGGCTCCTTGGGAACACGGGAACATTTCCGGGAATTTTATGATGAACCCCTAAAGCATGGCCAGAGATCAACTGCTCCTGAAAGATTTGTTCGGATTGCTGATGAACGAAAACAGCACCTAGTGTCAGTTCTGCATAAGTATTTGTTAAGAAGGACAAAGGAGGAAACTATCGGGCATCTTATGATGGGAAAGGAAGATAATGTCGTATTCTGCGCCATGAGTGATTTGCAAAAACGAGTTTACACGAGAATGTTACAATTACCAGACATCCAATGCCTCATTAATAAGGACCTCCCTTGTAGCTGTGGAAGTCCTCTTACCCAAGTAGAATGTTGCAAAAGGATTGTTCCTGATGGAATCATCTGGCCTTATCTTCACAGAGATAACCCGGATGGGTGTGATTCATGCCCCTTTTGCCTTGTCCTTCCCTGCCTTGTCAAGCTCCAACAGGTTAATGAGGTTTTTAGTTTTGCTGTTTTTCTTACTATGGATCTTAACATTGGAAATTTCTCTGTTAGTCTTGCAACAACAGTCAATTGCTACTTATGTTGTTTCAGTGCTTAGGCTATGCAAACCTTCACAATTACTTGTTAGGATAGTATTCAAAGGCAAGAGCAGGAGCATTCTTAATATTCCCAGTGCCTGAGGGGCGAGGATAGCACCAAAAAGCTGTTATTAATATTTATATATTATGGTTTTATTGTGTTTCTTCATGTTTACCTGCTGGATTGCATCACAGGTAAGCAATCACCTGGAGCTTATAAAGCCTAACCCTAGAGATGAACCAGACAAACAAAAGAAAGATGCAGAGTTTGCCTCTGCTGTCTTTGGACCTGATATTGATTTGGTGGGAGGGAATGCCCAAAGTGAGAGTTTCATGGGTCTAAGCGATGTTAAACATTGTGGCAAAATGCGAGCCTTGGAAAAGTTAATGTTGTCTTGGGCTTCAAAGGGCGACAAAATTCTCCTCTTTAGTTTCTCAGTCAGGTCATGTTCCACAACTCCACTTATTTGACTCTCCTGTTTAAGTTTTACTCGAAAGATTCATAAGAATTTCTTATACTTAGGTATTGTTACAATTTTTCATCAAAAGTAGTTACTAATATGAGCATTTTTCCTTCATGTACATGCTATTGTTTGGATGTGACTCCTTTATTCTGCCCCTGAAGTTGAACTATTGTTTCCAGGATGTTGGACATACTTGAAAAATTCCTTATTCGCAAAGGCTATAGCTTTTCCAGACTTGATGGTTCTACTCCAATCAACTTGCGCCAGCCGCTTGTTGATGACTTTAACTCAAGTCCAAGCAAACAGGTAATTTTCCTAGTGGAAGAATGGAATAGGAACTCTTTATTGAATCTCTGTGGACTCTAATTTCTTACTTCAGGTGTTTTTGATATCAACTCGAGCTGGTGGGCTTGGATTGAATCTTGTAAGTGCAAATCGTGTGGTCATATTTGACCCAAACTGGAATCCTGCCCAAGATTTACAGGCGCAGGACAGATCATTTCGTTTTGGACAGAAGCGGCATGTTGTGGTATTTCGCTTTCTCTCTGCTGGTTCCCTTGAGGAGCTGATATATACTCGTCAGGTGTACAAGCAGCAGCTATCAAATATTGCTGTTTCAGGGAAAATGGAAAAACGATATTTTGAAGGAGTCCAGGTACAGTAATCAGTTCTTTTTTTTTTTTTTTTCCAAGAGAGAGGTGGGTTGAGGGTGAGGACGGTGGTTGAGGCATGTGGAATGTTAGTGAGTGGAAGAGCGGCTGGTTTCCTCTAGCTTTTTGAATCTGTATTAAGATATTTTTCATATTCTTGAATTTTTGTGGTAACCTTTTTTCTCAGGATTGCAAGGAATTTCAAGGCGAGCTATTTGGGATTTGCAATTTATTTCGTGATCTTTCTGATAAGCTTTTTACCAGTGAAATCATCGAGTTACATGAAAAACAGAGACAAGAATATGGGCAGCGTCCTAAAACAGAACAGGAATTAACTGAGATTGGGACCCATATTATTCCCTCAAAAGAAGTAAGTTCATCACTTACATCAGGATCTGAGACCGTAAAGTCTGCTGATCTGTGGAGAGCTATGACAGATAAACCATTACTTGAAGATTTGGGTAAGTTCAACTTGTCCTACTTTATGGCTGGGTGATCATGCTGTTTTCTTCTACTCAAGTTATTAATTGTTGATTAATGCTCGATGACTGTGATATGTGATCAATTTTGTGACCAAATGGCTGCAACGAAATTAAAAAGAAGACAAGATGGACCATTGACATCATATACAACTGATGTTGGTTCTAAGTTCAAAGATCTACAGGGTGATAGAGAAACCTTATTTAGACGGAAATCAAATTTAAGACAAACAAATTGAGAGATACAACTGAATGTCTTAAACAGATTTTTTGGCATGTTTGGGGGTAGGGGTATGGAGCTTGTCTTTAGCACGATAGTAACAAGTTAATAATTTTTTACTAACATCACTGACCTTCAGGTATTCTCTATGCTCATCGTAATGAAGACGTTGTCAATAATCAACCTGATATTCAAGAGAAGTTAGAGCTGAGAATTCCTAAGGACAATAGCTCAAGGCAGCCACAAATCCCGATAAAGAAGAAAAGAAAATTAGATGATGCAAATGGTAATAACATATCTTCATCCAAGGACTGGAAAAAGGTTCAATACAGCTTGCTTGCCCGGTTCATGGGTATGGGAGAGGTTGAATTTAGCAAGTGGGTATTATCTGCTAGTCCTTTGGAGAGGGAGCAAGTGCTTCAAGATTTCAAGAAGAGAAAGGAGAAACCAGATGGTTGAAGAAGGATGGTATGTTTGCAGACATGTACATGGAATTGTTGTAACTCATCATTGTATATTATTGTGTCATAGAGATGTAAATTTTATTTTTTCTAATTCATTTCTCAGTGTTTTAGTGTTCTACTTGCATCCGGCAACAGGAATATTGAAATAATGATTTAGTGTAAAAAAAATGCTGTTATCAATTAAGGAAACTACCCGTTGTAACACTCGGAGGCCATGATTCACATACTTAATACAATTATGTTGATTTGGTAATAGCGGTAGAAGTTCTGATTCTAGAGCTGAAATCAGTTCAAAGATATCACTATATTGAAACGGTAATCAATTGTATGACGTGATTTAGAATGTACGAAGTAATTTCAGATAGTAGAAAGTGTAAATTTAAATTAAAGATTGTTCAGAATAATTTGTTCCTGTTCAAAATTACAAGTATAAACCCCACATCTCTCCATATTTTAACACATGAACAGCTACTTTCTTTGCATCTTAAATCTCCATATTTTAACACATGAACAGCTACTTTCTTTGCATCTTAAATCTGGAAACCGGTTTTGAAGGTTGGGTGCCAGAAGGCTGCAGTAGTCGAAACCATGATGAGAATTTGAAGTCAAAAAACATACAAACATCAACAATGTCAAAAATAATGCATGGGTAAGCAATACCTTCTCGGTACTTGTATGTATATTGTGAGTGTGCTCTACAATTGAGCCTGTAAAAGCCTGCAAAAAACAAATCATGTTCGAAATGGGTAAATTTCACATACTTTAATTTTTTTTCCCATGGTTCATAACCCTTCCTTTTTGTTTCTTCATAAAGTAAGGAATGTTTCAAATCCATGAGCTGACATGGAAGAGTAGTGAAAACATACCTTGCCACTGTCAAACCCTGCTTTGGAAGTCTGGGCAGACACCTGTTAAGATAAAAGTATGGTAAGGGAACTTGGGGGGCCAGCTGTTTACAATATGCAAGAATGTTTATTTATTATAGCAAACACAATGATAACTTCTTACTAATGCAGAAATTTCTAAAGAAGTATGATCATAAGTTGCGAAAAAAAGAAAATCAAATTCTCTTTCTTTCTAATTTCCCCTTGTTTCCTAAATGCCAGTGCAACATGAATTGTGGGCATCCGCACACACCAGCAAAGATGCACTGTTCAGCAGCAAGTAATAACGGACTTCAAAAAATAGCATTTTCAACTTTTCATGCCAGATGAAAATTAGACAAAATTACAAATTGCAGTGGTAACTAAAAGAATTCAAAACATTACTACAAATTGCAGTGGTAACTAAAAGAATTCAAAACATTTTGGACTCCAGATATACAACATTTTGCACTCACAAGCTTTTGAAATAGATGGTCTACAGTATATGTTTGCACAATATGACAACATAACTTGATGAAGATATACAAAATTTGCATCTAGTTACAAGATAATGAATCTTCGATTCATTTGATTTCAACCCAATCTGGTATTGATGTATGCTAAAAATATGCATCAATTTTTAGCTACAATTTCAAAATTAAAATAAATAAATACATTTATGCTGCCTGGAAAAAAAATTACATGACAATGACACTAAAGCACAAAACCAGCAAGCCCTTACTACGTTTGAACATAAACTTTAAATACCTCCTTTCCTGATGAAGACATTGTCCCAACATTCTCCGTCCCTTCAGGAAGCACTAATGACTGCTCAGCAGAAATGTAATTTGCATTGTGTGCTAAAGCTTTGCCATGTGACATGGCATCTGAAAGAGAGAAAACAAAGAAATCGCTTCATCCATACACAAAAGCTGAAATGGTGTAACAACAGTTGGTTGATGTGGATACTAATACAACTGGCTCCCTAATTTATCTCTAATTAGCAGTGGGTATTAGCAAACTTTCCTGAAGCCTGAATGCACTATAAAAATTTAAAAAAAAAAAATCATAGAGATTTCATAACTAAATTTACCTTTTGGTACAGCCTGCACTGTCAATCCTGTACACTGTGTTTAAAAATTTTCCAAAAAATTAATGACTCAATAAGTATGAAAGATGATTCAACAACTTATTATCAGTAGCTGATAAAAGATTGACCGAACTAAAGCAGAGGAAAATTTGAGGATTTGCTTCTCTTACAGATTGATCAATAAAATTCTGCTGGTAATGATTATCAGAGAACTGTTCAGAGGTGGTAATTTCTTTCGTCTGCTGGAGTGGTTTAGTTGAGATAAACTCCTGTGCGATCATTCAGCATAATTAGGACAAAATCAAAGCAACTGCTTTACCATCTCTAACCAACACAACAAATTAAAAGCAATACCTGTGGATGTCTAAGATTATGATCAAATGAACTCTGATCCGGAAATGGATCAAAATCAGCTTTAGCTTGCTTGTCTTCGTCACTGTCATTGTCATTTTCAGCAGTATTACTTTGTTTACCGTCATCATCCCAATTGTCACTTTCAGCGGCAAGTTCTTCAAGCTCAAGTTCATCTAACCTGGACATAATACGAGCATATTCTTCATCTTCATCTTCATCTTTAAAGTTGTTTGCTTCAGAGAGACTAGAATCTTGTTTTGGTAGACCTGAAACGGATATTGACATCTCAACCATGAATTTTTTTTTTTCTTCTGAAAAGATATATGTGAGCCATTTAAATAACATAAACAAGCTGTCTATGACACTGAGAATAAATCAAGGATCAAAAAAATCCTAGAAGTCTAAGACCTTTGGAAAATGGTGTGGCCACAGCCACTTGTCAACTTCCAAAATTCAATTAGTTCACTGCTTGCATGTTGCATCTGCATTTAATGCAATGAAGAAAACCAAACATGCATTTATGCATAATGCTTCTATGTTCATTCATTATATTTGGAATTCAATGCAAGAAAAACATAAGCATATGCTCAGCTGTTTTAAATAAAGTAAAATTCAACATCACAAGAAAGAGGAGGATATCATTTGCCCTTCTTCTCTAGAAATACCAAGTTTGCCTTCAGATGAACATTAACAGTTTCTCTATAAACAGTTTTTATGTAACATAATATCATGTTATAGAATCTAGCTGGATGAGAATTCAATCAAAATATAGTTTTGCAATCAAATTGAAAGATAAAACTAAATTTTTGAATAATGCTTTGTTTTGTTAATTAAATTCAAACTGGTTAATTTTGTTACTTAATCATGTAGTTAATTAACGAAAGGGGAGGAAAGAGACCAAGAAAACTGGTCAGCAGTGACATTTAAAAAATCAATAAATCCACCAAACACTTGAATGACTAAACTTGAGTCCAAACTTCTAATACCAAGCAACTAAAAAAAACAAACAAAAAGCAAGAACATGCCTGATTCAGATGTCTTTTCAGATTTTTCCTCCAAATATTCTTCCCTTATCTCCACAAGACCCTCCTGTTATATATAATTATATATCAAGCAGTAACTATTAGTGTTGAGAGAAACAACACAAATGGGTGAATATTTGCAGGAGCAACTGATAAACAGTTTGGTCAAACCAAAAGAAAGTTGAAACTTGTCAAAACTAAATTCTATAATAATCAACTTATTGACCTTCAATTTTTTAATTTGTATGGATGATTTGGGGTTCTCGGTAATCTGATTGACGAAAATCTGATACATGTTCATGCTTTAGATCCTCACCATTAAACCTTATTCTTTATAGAGTTATTTAATCCATATAAGATAAACAATGCACTGTTTCCTATGATTGTTTAACGTATGTCAAATTGCACAATACACCATTTTAANAGCGATTTCATAACTAAATTTACCTTTTGGTACAGCCTGCACTGTCAATCCTGTACACTGTGTTTAAAAATTTTCCAAAAAATTAATGACTCAATAAGTATAAAAGATGATTCAACAACTTCTTATTAGTAGCTGATAAAAGATTGACCGAACTAAAGCAGAGGAGAATTTGAGGATTTGCTTCTCTTACAGATTGATCAGTAAAATTCTGCTGGTAATGATTATCAGAGAACTGTTCAGAGGTGGTAATTTCTTTTGTCTGCTGGAGTGGTTTGGTTGAGATAAACTCCTGTGCGATCATTCAGCATAATTAGGACAAAATCAAAGCAACTGCTTTACCATCTCTAACCAACACAACAAATTAAAAGCAATACCTGTGGATGTCTAAGATTATGATCAAATGAACTCTGATCCGGAAATGGATCAAAATCAGCTTTAGCTTGCTTGTCTTCGTCACTGTCATTGTCATTTTCAGCAGTATTACTTTGTTTACCGTCATCATCCCAATTGTCACTTTCAGCGGCAAGTTCTTCAAGCTCAAGTTCATCTAACCTGGACATAATACGAGCATATTCTTCATCTTCATCTTCATCTTTAAAGTTGTTTGCTTCAGAGAGACTAGAATCTTGTTTTGGTAGACCTGAAACGGATATTGACATCTCAACCATGAATTTTTTTTTTTCTTCTGAAAAGATATATGTGAGCCATTTAAATAACATAAACAAGCTGTCTATGACACTGAGAATAAATCAAGGATCAAAAAAATCCTAGAAGTCTAAGACCTTTGGAAAATGGTGTGGCCACAGCCACTTGTCAACTTCCAAAATTCAATTAGTTCACTGCTTGCATGTTGCATCTGCATTTAATGCAATGAAGAAAACCAAACATGCATTTATGCATAATGCTTCTATGTTCATTCATTATATTTGGAATTCAATGCAAGAAAAACATAAGCATATGCTCAGCTGTTTTAAATAAAGTAAAATTCAACATCACAAGAAAGAGGAGGATATCATTTGCCCTTCTTCTCTAGAAATACCAAGTTTGCCTTCAGATGAACATTAACAGTTTCTCTATAAACAGTTTTTATGTAACATAATATCATGTTATAGAATCTAGCTGGATGAGAATTCAATCAAAATATAGTTTTGCAATCAAATTGAAAGATAAAACTAAATTTTTGAATAATGCTTTGTTTTGTTAATTAAATTCAAACTGGTTAATTTTGTTACTTAATCATGTAGTTAATTAACGAAAGGGGAGGAAAGAGACCAAGAAAACTGGTCAGCAGTGACATTTAAAAAATCAATAAATCCACCAAACACTTGAATGACTAAACTTGAGTCCAAACTTCTAATACCAAGCAACTAAAAAAAACAAACAAAAAGCAAGAACATGCCTGATTCAGATGTCTTTTCAGATTTTTCCTCCAAATATTCTTCCCTTATCTCCACAAGACCCTCCTGTTATATATAATTATATATCAAGCAGTAACTATTAGTGTTGAGAGAAACAACACAAATGGGTGAATATTTGCAGGAGCAACTGATAAACAGTTTGGTCAAACCAAAAGAAAGTTGAAACTTGTCAAAACTAAATTCTATAATAATCAACTTATTGACCTTCAATTTTTTAATTTGTATGGATGATTTGGGGTTCTCGGTAATCTGATTGATGAAAATCTGATACATGTTCATGCTTTAGATCCTCACCATTAAACCTTATTCTTTATAGAGTTATTTAATCCATATAAGATAAACAATGCACTGTTTCCTATGATTGTTTAATGTATGTCAAATTGCACAATACACCATTTTAATAGCTAGCACTTTCTGCACTTGCTGTGATGAAGGTACAGTATTTTGAAGCTTGGAATGCAATCAAAGCTGAAGGGAATTTTGTTTCCTTATTCTCTGTGATCACATACAACATGGTAACACCCAGATGTTTAATCGGGAATCCTCGATTAATGAAACATATTGGAATCATCTATTCTTAAAATCTAAGAAAGAGAATTATTTTCATCTAGAAAATAAAGATGAAAAGCATCAAACTCCCAAATCAAATATCTATGAATCTAGCATCCTGAGACATTGGAGTGTTTGTATCATGTGAGAAAGTGTATCACTCATTAGAGCCCCTGACACACCAAAGGGTAACAGGACTTCTAACTGATTAACTAAGCCCAATTAAGCCTCCTAGAAACCGAAATTTCTTATGAATGGTATAAGATTAACGACAACCACCATAAAAAAATTTCTAGTAACCAAAGAACAACTGCAAAACTCACTGCTGCTTCAGATGCTGTCGCATTGAAGAATGAAGCCTCAGCTTGAAGATCCTTCATCATGGCCTTAAGAGAATCAGCTTGGGACTCTAAATCCTTTCCCCGTCTCTTCAAAATCTCAACAGTTTGCTTTGATGTTCTGTCAGCATAATACCCTTCTCCCAAAAGAACCTACAACCACAGTAACTAAAATTTTTGTATCGAATTCCCAAGCACACTCCTCAAATCCATTTTTTATCCATCTAATAAAGGTGGATCTCGTAATGCTTAAAAAAAGGAAAAGAAAAAAAGAAAAAAAAAGGAAGGCAATTTCAAGTAGTACTTCTATTAAGACACATGAAACTGCTTTCTCAATTTTTTTTAGCACCCAAAAAGCACCTTCTAAAAAGTTGAAGAAAAATGCCGCTTCAAAACCACTCCAAATGCTCTCATACACTTAAAAAGCCTTTTTTATCTAATTCAATTAGACACTTCAAAATAGCTCAAAGCTCTTATGGAGGTCCCAAACGCAACATTGATATTTAGAATTATTAAAGAAAGAGTAATAAAATGCTACCAGAATTTCATTGGTGTGTATTAAACGTCCAGGAAAAAACGCCGCTTTCCCAAATGGAACCTACAACAAGAAAAAAAAAGTTTAAAAATAAAAATTACACATAGAAAGAGAAACACACATTTGGAGTGTCTGATGGGTCATAAAATGGTTTGCCATAATATCGTGGTGGAGTTCTTCTGGAAGTTTCTGGACGAAGTTGATGAGGTTTGTGTTATCGGCGATGAATTCATTTACTCTGTCGAGCTCCTGCTGTTTCTCTGTAATAGTATCCTGCACGCGCTTCGCTGCTTTCTGCGCGTCTTCTGCGGGAAACATTGACGAGAGTGACGTCACCGTTCCTTTCTTTATTGGCTCCTCCATTGTTGATCGTTACTCTGCACTGAGTTTTAGAAGGAGGGGGGTTTTGGGTTTAAAAGACGGAAGAGAAAGACTAAATCAAAACGCAGCGCTTCGTTCATAATCATACCTAGTAGAAAGAAGAAACGACTACCTTCCTTGCGTTTTGAGCTTGACTGTCTACTCTCTTCCCTTTTTGCTATTTTTGGAGGGTAAAACCGTAAAAGTAAATTCTCTATATTTGTAGAAGGGGATAAAAACTTTTTGGCCCTTGTGCTTTTTGTGTTTAACACGATTCTTTGAAATACCAATAGTGAAAGGGCAAAAATGTTGAAGGGTACTTTTGTTATTAAGAAAAGTTTTTAACAAATTATTATCAATTACTAATGATAAACCCAGTTTTAAATATGATAAAAAATGAAAATAATGTGGGTCTTTCCGATAATAACAGTGTGATTGAGATAGTTTATATTGATTTGCTAACCTAATATGCATCAAATATTGAATAATTTTGGCCAAGTCACAACATTACCGTTAATTTATTGACAGTAAATACTAAATAGTTATCCACGTATCATATAAACTATAGCTTAATTTGATTCAATCTTTATATATCTCACGGGTCTAATTTTATTTATAACAATTAAATGTATTTATATATAAATCTATTATATCATATTTATTATAGTGCTAAATATCATGTTTAAGATATTCTTACCATTATAAATCTCTAATTAAGTTTGATGTTCAAATGAATTGAACTCACGAGTCACGTCGATACCATGAGTTTATAATTTCATGTTGTTCATGCTATTAATTTAATCTAAGAAAAATGTTATTCTTACAAAGACATATACAAAGAGGGTTATAAAGTAACATCATTCGGAAGAAAAAAATAAAGAAAAAACAGAAAAAGAGAAAGAGAAAAATCATAATATGGATTATCTTTATATATCCTCTTTGTAAAACTCCCTTTGAATATGTCTTTGTAAAACTAGTTAATCTGTTAATAGTATTATTTGTAGGGCGCGTGCGATGGGTACTACCAGAAGCGCGTGTTTAAACTATCATTCCCCAAAGCAAAGTCTCGCTCTCACAGTGACCTCCATTTACCAAACAAAAAGTTCAGAAACATGTCAAATTGTCAACGACGATCAACAAATGAAACAACCAAAGCTTAGTTTGAGAACCAACTCCCCAAACCCACCTTCCATCTACTTATTATGTATACTTAAGATGTACAAAATCTTCTAGTGAAGGCTTTCAATATCATTGTTTATTAGTTAGTTGCTTTTTAAATTAATAACTTTTGAGTCAGTTGAGCTCTCACTTTCGATTATCTGACTCATGTTTTATGTGTTTGTTTGATTATTACTTCAATTGTTTGATTCCACTTGAAGCAATACTTATTCATGAGAGGTGGGATTGTGTCATTTTCTTCCGTTCTTGTTGTTCAAGATCGTCAGTTTGTTAAGCTACGTGCTGTTCCGGACTTTAATTTGTGTTGAATTCTTTTGTTTTTCAACTGGGGTTTGATATGTTCGCTCGGCAATTTTTGGGTTCTATGTGGTTTCAAAGGAGGAGGAAATTAGGGTTTTTGGTTCGGGTTCTTTTTGGATTATGGTTTGGTTTTGCAGTTTTACAGCCTGTTGGGGCTCTCAGACCGTTAAGGGAGCGGGCTCGCTCGTGGGGCGATGAGGTTGGTACTTATTAGTTTCTTTGTTTGGGTTAATCGTAGTTTTATTTGGTTTTTGTCGTTTGTGTTTGAGGAGAATGTAGGATAAAGATGGTTATTGTGGATGTGAAAATGCAGATTTTGCTGGTTTGTTTTGTTGTTCATCATGTCAAATTCAATGGTTTGTTTTGAGTTTGAGTTTTTAATTTGCTGCCATGGTGAAATGATGTTGTATTTTTCGTTTTTGACTTCATTTTGATGGGTTTGACTGGATATGTCATAGTGGGTTGTATCTGTTCTGCATTTGTGTGAGTTTCTAGTTTTGGTGGCGTAGTGAAAATAGGATATAATTTCATTTTCTGCTTTTATTTTTATGGGGTTTCACTGGTTATGTGATAGTGGGTTGTCTCGTTATGCATTGTGGGAAATGTGGAGTCTAGTAGTACAACAGCATTATAATGCATTGATTCTTTGGACAAGAATGGTGAGAGGCCGGTGAAATTATGGTTAACTTTCATTTTTCTAGCATCAGTTCTATCATTCAGTATCACCTGATTGCTTGATAAAGTCCCTGGTTGAGTTGTGCAGCAAATAATTGTTGATAAATTTTGTTGTTGGTAATGTTTTTTGTTTCATATTACTTGAGCCACCAGTTATGTTTAGATTTTTCTATCTTTATGATAGCTGGAGGAAAGTATTATTTTTTTGTAAGGCTGAATTTACCTTTTCTTTACTGAGAAATCTGATTTATAATAAACTCATTTTGTCACTTATTGTTGATTTTTTTTTTCAGTGGCTATTTGTTAGAAAAGATGATAATGAATTGGGTCCATTTTCTCCATGGAACATAACAGGAACTTACCGAGGTTTGTAAGTTATATACTATTTTATCCAGTCTAGTTAGTTATTATCTAAATTGTTAGCCTTCTATAAAATTGCTAAAATTCTTGATTTTTTCATTGGTGTATGGCTAATCTAGCTAAATCTTTNTTCGTTTCATATTACTTGAGCCACCAGTTATGTTTAGATTTTTCTATCTTTATGATAGCTGGAGGAAAGTATTATTTTTTTGTAAGGCTGAATTTACCTTTTCATTACTGAGAAATCTGATTCAAAATAAACTCATTTTGTCACTTATTGTTGATTTTTTTTTTCAGTGGCTGTTTGTTAGAAAAGATGATAATGAATTGGGTCCATTTTCTCCATGGAACATAACAGGAACTTACCGAGGTTTGTAAGTTATATACTATTTTATCCAGTCTAGTTAGTTATTATCTAAATTGTTTGCCTTCTATAAAATTGCTAAAATTCTTGATTTTTTCATTGGTGTATGGCTAATCTAGCTATATCTTTCTTTTGTAGATTTCTTATAATCTCCCAATAATATTATAACCCTCAATTCTGGTACTTGCATGGTTACTCTCAATGGATGCGATGATGATTTCCTTGCAACCATTACCAAAGTTCCTTGGCTAGCAATGTTGTATGGTTTGGACGTAGCCTCTAGTTTAGAATTCGTTGGACAATAAACCAATCTTTAAAGTTTGCTACACTACTCTTTAATGTTTATTGTCTCGGATTACTGTTCCTTACTAGTCTTGAAATGTTGTTGAATACACTGTTTTTTGAACTGGTCAATACTTTTAGGCCTTGCATCTACCTGTGCATCAGAAGTTGCTTTTTGTCAGTTTCAATTCAGTAGAAGAAATTGAAATTTAATTTGTGAATTTTTTTTTTTTTTTTTTTTTTTTTGTTTTTTTGTTTTTGGAAATCCTGGCATTTGGAAATCTGGGCTTAATATTACTGATGACTTATACGGTCAGTTGAAAACATAATATATTTGATCTTCTAGTTTACTGCTATTTTGATCTGACTACTTATATATTTGCACGTATGGGTTGCAGGAGCTTGGAAATTTCTAGATTCCACAAATAGCTCTTCCAAGTTTCCAGATTTCAGTAAATCAAATGGAAATTCCATCATTGAGTTAGTTAGCACCCCAACAAAAATAACTGGTGTACATTACGTTCAGGTGAGGGAATAGAACCTTTGTTTATAATAACTCATCATCCATAGTTATTGTGTGGTTTCTAATTTATAATAGCTCTTCCGCATTTCTTAGTCATTCCATACTTTGACAATAATTTTTGGTTTCATGTTTGTACAAAACATTGTTAAAATGGGCCTTGAGACTGCAATTTTCATCATTCAGAAGTGCCTTTATTTCCTTGATATGGATGGGATTGCTTTATTTTATGTGTAATAATTAGCCATCTTGGGCTTTCACAAACCTTTAGTTTGCTACAGTGATTGGATAAATATTGCTTCATCTTTTATAATTGAGAAAAAGTGGTCACATTATGTGATGGAGGCATGTTCTGATTTTCTGAAGTTGTGTTCCTTGAAGCTCTTGCACCAATTATATTATTATTTTTCGTTTATGTCGTTTATTACAGGGTGTAATTATATTCCATGATGTGTTTGATAACGAGCATAATGTTGGTGGTGCTCAAATCAGAGTAGAAGGTGTATATATATGGCCTTTTAGACAACTTCGAATGGTAGCTAACAGGTAAGTCTTGTGGATTTTGTAGGTTATTAGCTTTTAATTTATCAGGACATTGTCCTTTAAAAGTTCTTCCTAGAGCATCTATCAAATATTCAATGCAGGGTTTCCACTTTTCACTTGTCTTCCCGTTAATTTGGTTAGGTTAGGTGGTTTGCTAGTTGCATTTCAAACTCTAATGTTCTACTATACACTATTGCAGTGGAAAAGAGGGAGATTTGAACCAAGAAGAAGATTATATTTTGTCAAATCCATATCATTTGGTAACATTTCTTATTTAGTCATCAGTGATACTTGGAATTCTCATATTCATGCTATAGTATATGGATTTAGGACAACTTACCTTGCAAAGGTGGTTGTGAATTGACCTTATGAGTTTAATTAATTTGACTTGATGTTAACTAATTATCATAAACTAGTACTACATAATTGACATACCCTGATTTTATTATTACAGGGTTGGACTTGAGTCATATGTTCTTGACAGTTGGGTTTTTGTGGGATGAGTATCTGAATCTGTTTTATGCTTTTGTATATGTTTTTTGTCTTTTTGTTTTAAATTTTATGGGCATAGGGGTTTGTTCTGAATAACCTACAGAATTAAGCTCATCTCCTATTTGACAATGACTTGCCTTTTGAGATGTATTGAACTGATCACAATATCAGTGTTTTTTGTGAATATCTTTATTGATGTTGCTTCTGATTCTTTGAACAGCTTGGAGTTTTCTCATCTCAGGTGTTCCAAGAATCTCCGCGAGAGAAAATATGGAGAAGGAAAAATTGTAATACTGTCTACATTCACTTTGACTTTTATGTTTTATATACTACGACCTTGTAGTTAAATCTTATATTTTTTGGGTGCAGCACCAATTTATGAGATGGAGAAACATTGTAATATAGAAATTGCTGCACAAATTTCACGGATCTCATCCTCACAACATGGTATTTGAGTTTCCGTGGCATATGAATACATTTTTTACTTTTCTTTTGAGAAATAAAGTTGTGTATTGCGCTCTGTTGAATGCTTAAGTTATTGTTATTGCTGACATTCTTACAGAGAGTGATCGTGATCGTTATCACATAGAAGGACTAATGGAGAGTCCTGCAGTGGATGATGATGGGGATTGCTTCTCACCTTTACTTATAAATGCCACTTCTGTCAACATTGAGGTCTACTATAACAAAGCAGTGAACTATACTTTAATGGTCACTTTTGTATCCTTTTCTATATCATTGCTCTTGCAGCTCATCACCGTGTCGTTATCTAGTTTTGGATGAATTCCTTGACAATTTTCGCTCAGGTTTCTTTCCTTCAGGTTCTTTTGTTGATTCGGCAGATGGAACATAGCAATACTCAATCTGTAAGAAAATTGCTCTGTACAATTTTTAGTAACAATAATTTAGGGACCTGCATGATGTCATTTATAATAAGAATACTTTTTTTTCAGTATCTTGCTGTTTCATCATTTAACATAAGTAATATGGCTCTGATCTGCCTTTATCAGGGTGCTGCCAAAGTTTCAATTTTAATGATAGGGCAACAGGCTATCATGGATGCATATCTTTGCCTATTACATCTGACTGCAGGAATACTAGTTGGTAAGTACAGAAAATAAGCAGTGCAACTTGGTTGCTTTTGCTCAAAAACATATTGCAATATCAGTTGAGACCAAATCAGAGAGGAGCTTAATGTATTAGTATAGATGAAATGCACACTGATGCTTTCTCCTCTCAAATACAGATTAGCATAAATAATACATGTGTTGCACTTTTATTTGTATATGCTTACTACCTTTTTCTTCTTTGGTGTACACAATGCACAAGTTGTGACTTCTGTTATATCTGCAAATATTTCCTGTATCTGATACTGCACAACCACCTTTTATCTGATTTGTTCAAATGATCATGGAAAATTTTTCTTTGATCAATCTTTGCTAATAATTGGTTCCTTTCCATTAATTAAGTGGAGCTTTTTTTTTGGCTTACAGAATCCTTGTTTAATGCTTTTGCGACGGCTGCGTTTTTCAAGTTTGTAGTCTTCTCAATTTTTGAGATGAGATATCTTCTTGCTATATGGAAGGCAAGTCGACCCATGAATAATGGCGAAGGTTGGGAGACCATGAGGCGTGAACTATCAGTTCTATATAGTCGTTTCTGTAAGTGCTGTTATATTATTTAAAGTTTGATTTAGTAAATCAAATGCTACATGTAGGTCTCTACCTTCTACTTCAGCTACTCATTGATTTGTGGATAAAGTTTCATTTATAAAGGTGGAACTGATGACACCTTCACAAACTTGGTGTGATTGTGTGTTAAATCAAGACGCTTCACAGACATGTTATTTAGAAATGTTGAAAGCATTCATCTTCGCCCTCGGTCATAAGCATCCAAAAACAAAATTCTGTTTCATGATCATATTTAATTGTCTATATATACATTTAATTGATCTGGCAATAAGATTGTTTGCAACTTATGTTGAAAGGACACTCAGGTTTCAATTATAGAGTACCAGGGTTACTTGACATTTAATTTCAAGCTTAAATGCTGGACTATTCAGGAGAAATATTTTTTTTTTTAACTGTTCTTTTATTTATATGGCATTCTAGCTCTTTTATACCGGTTTTAGTTATACACTATTCAAGATCATAAGGGATATAAGTTTTTCACTAGCCTCCTGCTTATTTTTCTTTTTTCTTTTTTTTAACTACTCTTTGCCATTCCTAAACGTTTTGCAACATGTTGATTGGAACTCACTTGTTTAAAATTGTCATACAAATTTGATCCCACTATTTGTTGCTATATGCAGATGGGATCCTTTTGGGAGGCATTCTGGTTATGTACGAATTTCACAATTTTCTGCGACCTATTCTTCTCCTTATGTACTCATTTTGGATACCTCAAATAATTACCAATGTTGTACGTGATTCAAGAAAATTTTTGCATCCTCACTACATTTTAGGCATAAGTGTTACACGGCTGACAATCCCATTATATATATTTGGATGCCCTCACAACTTCATGCGCATTAAGCCTGATCAGAATTGGTGTATCTGCTTGATTGTATTTATTGGACTGCAAGCTTCAATTCTTCTACTTCAGCACTACCTTGGATCACGATGGTTCATTCCTCGTCAGGTTGGATGTAACTCTGGCTATTTTCCTCATGCAAAATCTTTTTTTTGTATTTTTTAGTTAATTAACTGATTTGAGATGCACAAATATATGTATCAAGTTTCTGTTTTCATAAGGCAGTATAACTACCATTCATTCCAGGTAGAACATAAAAATAATTAATTTTTGTGCTCAATGGGTCCTTTATTTTCCATCATTTTGGGGATTAGAACTCAGCTTTCCCTGCATTTTTTTGAAAAAAAAAAAAAAAAAAAAAAGCGAATGTGTGGCAATTTGTATGTGTTGAATAACACCTGTTTTCAGTTGAGTTGTGCTTTTTTGCAATTAAGGTTCTAAACAAAAAACTTAATTTCGTTGCTGTGACATATGTTTGACAACTACCTAAAGCTTGGTTTCATGATTTGCAGATCCTACCTGAGAAATATAGCTATTATAGGCGATTTGATCATGATACTGATCATTTTACAGACTGTGTCATTTGCATGACTGCCATTGATCTTACACAGCGTTCTACTGATTGCATGGTATATTATCAGTATTATTATTTTATAAATAGTTGCTTTTATAGATCTTTTTTCTTGGGGTAGTAAACATAAAGTTACAAATTATCTAACAGGTGACGCCATGTGAACATTTTTTCCACTCGGTTTGTTTACAAAGATGGATGGATATAAAGATGGAATGCCCAACTTGCCGGCGTCCTCTGCCACCAGCCTAGAGAGATTATTTCACTGTCTATATTTACATAGGATCAATTGTCCTGCACAATCTGTTAACTTTGGTAAATGACTGGACTCAAATCCATCAAGTCTTTTAACTATTTTTACCTATTAGGTATTAAATTCTAAGGGATTTTTCAATTTCTGAGAAGTGAGTCGTTTTTCTTACTTTCTTTTTACCAGAATTTGTCACTCTTGTGTAAATTTAGATATCAATCTAGTTGCTATTGTTGATTCCCATGCTGATTTTTAGTCACATTTCTACGTTTTGTTTTCAGGTTGGCTAAAAGCCCCATATTTTGCTGAAACACATGTTTAGAAGATGGGTGGAGTACTCCAAACCAATTTGAAAAAGTCACAGCAGTTAGCATATCTTGTATTATATGTAGCATAGGGATTTATTTCCAATGAAATTTACTTTTGACTTGATTCATTTTTTCTCTGTATTTTAAAATTTTTAGAAGAAACAAAATGTTAAAAAAAAGTTGATGTAGAGAACCTTATTAAAAATAATAAAACCCATGTGTTTTAGTCAAATATTCATGATTAATCAACTCTTAAACAGGATTAACTGACCACGTCAATGACGCAAGCCACATACTTACAAGCTGGGCAACTCTTTTGGAGGGATTTCTCAAATAAAAATCAGAAATGAGATGGGTACAAAACATTATCCCTTTGATATTCACCTAATTTTATTTATTACCACGTGTATTAGACAAAATTTAGTTTATTGATTTTCAAACATAAACATTATATGTATGTTACTTGTATAATAAAGAAGAACTGCCTTCTCTGTATACTAATATGGCATATATATATATCTTGTCGAAAAGATTTTCGAGACCCAACAAAACACAAAAGCTAGGATCTTTCAGAGAATGGTTTCTTATTCAAAGAGTGCAAAATGGTATAGAATTACTTGGATAAAACTGGCGTAACAAAGTGGTTTTTTTTTTTTTTTTTAAGGGGGAAATGGTGTGTAGGAGTTTTGGTTGGCCATTAGAGGACTTTTAAAGCTTGTTCTTGAGAATATTACTCTGCATTAATGATACCGAAATTTGATGAGTTCAATAATAGTCTTCCACCTAATAAGAGACATGGAAACAACAGAAGCTTGAAATTAACGTACAGGGAAGCAAATGAAAACTAATGAATTTCTGTAAGATTACATTACACACATGAAACACCCGTGTACAAACTTTAAAGAAATGAACATGATATATATTTACATGATAATAGGCTAAGCCAAGAAAGTTTGGATCTTATTTTTGGTTTTACAGAGTTATCAACAATCTTACATTTTCTTATTTACGTATGGGTAGGAGCCATTGAAGGTGAAAACATGGGTGCAGCTGTTGGCATTGCTGTTGGAACCAAAGCAACTGAACCACCAAAGGGTCCAGAACTACTAACACCACCACCATTGCAGTGTTGCTCAAAGCACTCAACAGGATGCTCAAGCACAGGCTGACATACTTTATTACTTCGCTGGAGCGGTCTCTCCGGCAAACAGTTCCTGCGATCATCAAACACTATACGTTTTGACGTCAAGTTGCTGCAAATCCCCTGCTCTTCACAGAAGAAATTATAAGAGAATGAAAAATTTGCCAAGTTTGGCAAAACACAAACTCCCTCTGGCACAATACCAGTCATCGTGTTATGTGCAAAATTTAGTTGCTCCAATTGAGCTAACCCCGCAATGCTATAAGGTATAGGACCAACTAAATTGTTGAAGCTCACATCCAGCACTTTCAATTTGTAGAGATAACCAACTTCTGGTGGCAAACACCCTGACAAACTAGTGTTGGTCACTAGCAGCTCCTCTAAAGTATCAGCCAGTTTGGCAATACTTGGTGGCAAGCACCCACCAAATTTGTTGTTGGCAATTACCACAACAGATGCTGAATTATTTGCGCCAAAATTTGGTGGAATCATACTGGTAAGGCGATTGTTATTAACAAATATTGCATCAAGTTTCTTATTAAAAAGTTCTGGAGGTAATGGCCCTTCGAACTCATTGAAACGGATGTCAAGATAGTTTAGAGCTGGAAGAGAGAGCACAACACGAGGGAAAGGGCCAACAAATCTGTTATTACTAAGGTCAAGCTCATAAAGGAATGAAAGATTTGATAAAGTTTCTGGGATAATGCCGCAGAAGCGATTGCTATTGAGATGGAAGAGTGCAAGGTCAGAGAGGAGGCCTAATTCATCAGGAAGGAACCCAGCAATATCAGCTCCATTAAGATCAATGCCAGCAACAACTCGGATTTTGTGGTTATAAGGAGGAGCTGCACAATATATACCAGTATAGTTACATACTGAAGGACCAACCCAGTTGGAGGTGAAATTTGAAGGATCAGAGTAAATGACTCTTTTCCATGCTTGGAGAGCAATATAAGCTTGGTGAAGCTTCTCGTTCCGAAAAGGGGAGGACTTGTGAGAGGAACGGTGATGGTGGTGAGTGGAAGAGTAGCTGTGCTTTGCTGCAAGATTGTTTGATATAGAAGAAAGGTATACAAATAAGATGATTAATAAGGCATGGGAAGTGATAGCAGAAAACAAAGGTGAAGCCATTGGTTTGTGGATTGTGGGTTTATGCTAAAGAGCATAGCTTTGGTTGTTTAAGTAAGAGGTCTTTCCCTCCAAGTGAAAATCAAAAGTCTTGTTTCTAATCATGTTGTTCATGCTCAATCAACACATTGATTTCTTTTCTAAACATGATAAGATCCTAAGAATATGTTACAACGACCCGTTATAGCGACAGTTAACCAATACAAGTCACTTAAACAGGTTTGGACTGAATAAGCAAAAAACCAATTCACACTGACCAACGTTATGTCTTCTTGTGTTTTTCATTTTTCCATTTGGCTAGAACCAGTGCAAGAAAAGAAAACTGGTGATGAAAGTAATGGGATAAAAAAAGGAAATTAGTTGCAGACCATAAGCTTTGACAAAATTGGTGAAGGGAAGACAATGCGCATGATAGAGACTGGCCTCCTTCCATCTGTAGTTTTCACAGTAGTTTAAAGTGGAGCAAGAGAAAGACAGCTTCAACTCCCCTGAGATAAAACAAGAGGATTATTTTCTTAAAACTCAAGGGATAAACATTAACATTATATGCTTCAAGGGTCTAGAAGTACGAATCTTTACACATTTTCAAATATACCTTAAATCGTTGCATGACAGAAATCATGACCCATGTGCCTCATTTATTTGTTCCTAAGAAAATCTATTACCTAACCCTACTCTAATCTTTCTTCTAAATCCACTTAGAATTGGTTACATGTTTTGACCATCTGGCTATAACCCTTGCGCATATCTGGAAATTCATGTGCATCTTGAAACTAGTTATTATTCGTTTACGAATCATCCGCTACTTTTAGTAGTCTCAACTCAGTTCCATATTGTAATGATCTACTCACTCTCAGTGCGAGTTCAGACGACCCAAATGATTTGGTGTATGCTCTTGGTTAAGAATATCAAAAGACTTCCTTCGCTGCTTCTATTATGGATTTTGTAAAATAAATTGTTACTTATAGTGTTTTAAAACCCGACTCGACCCAGTCGGTTCAATCGGGACTTGGGGCCTTCATCAGGCCGGGTTACCAATTTTTCTATTCACTAGAATTTGGGATGACGATTAACGAACAATTGAAGGCCAAGATGTTGAGGCTTTTTAAGAGGAAGGGTTGATGAGTGCAATGGTGACGACGGAAGTGATTTCCAATGAGTGAATCAATTAGAAATAAAAAATAAAAAAAAACCAACGACGGCGGCAACAACCAGGGATGTTAAAAAAAAATGTAAAAACTGAACCGAACTGAATTTTCAACTATCTAAAAAAACCAGTTTGGTTTTGGTTCAAAGAAAATAAAAAACTAAATTTTGGATTCGGTTACCGATTTTGGAGGATATAGAAACCGATTAACCGAAACCGGTTTTATAACCAGTTTATTATAAAAATATTAAATTAAAACCAGTTCAAAACCGGTTAACTAGTTTTTACTAATTGGTTAACTGGTTGTTTGGTTAACTAAAAAACCGGTTTTCCCCTTAACTTGTTCAGTTTCAATTTAGGAAAATTCCTAAACCAAAAAATTGGTTTGATTCATGAAATCGATTAATCGATTCAATTAACCCCTAGCAAAAGCCAACGATGGCGAAGTGAACGGAGGTAGGGTGAGATGGGTTTTGGTCAAGAGGCTAAAGGAAGTATTTTCGTAATAATGGAAAGGGTTGTCGATGCCGACAATGATAAGTTTGGCCTTGTTGTGGACGCCAACAATGGTGAGATTTGATCAAAATCGAATAAATTTCAACCAATTCTTGTATAGATTTTCTAGGGAATTAGCTCAGGAGATTATTTAAATTACATTTGGTGTGTCACCACTGCCAACTAGTCAACCATCGATTTATATTTAGAGTGTATTTGCTAAAATTTCAAACCTGTAAAATCTAATTTTCAAAACAGCATATTTGCTGAATTTTAAACTATTTAACACTTGATTTGACCGACTAGCAAACCAATTCAACCAATCTACCCGGGACGCAGCAACTCTGTGAGGCTTCAACCGGGTTGGTTATTTAAATATTAATTATTTAAACCCGACATAGAAGTGTGCTAAGTAAGCAAACAAAACATCGCGTGAACTCAAATCATGCCTAGTTAAAATTAATCAGCACCGCTTCCATGTGGCAACTGGCAATATAGCAGAAAATAAACCAAGAAGCTGCAACAAGAACAAGATGCACGATAAAATGTTCACAGCTTCAAGATGAACATTATCTCGTCTTCATGGCGACTATCAATTATTAAAAATTGAAATCGGAAGCCTCTATTTGCTCCTCACCTGCCGCCGACTATTAAAAATAAAACAGAATAAATAGTTAAAACATATAATCATTGCAGAATACTAGAAAATAAAGCATTCCCTAATTGCAAAAGAAATTTGTTTGATTATTCTCAACAAAAGAACTGAAAACTACGGTCTAGAGCTCAAGCACAAAAACACTTCAAATTCAAATAGTTCTTTGATGACTATAACATTCTCTTTATGTCAAATCCCTAATAATGGGAAACATAAAAAAACACTATTTGCTCATCCAAAATTATTCAAACTTGAGAAGAGCACCATCCCCAACCTGCGTAAATATATTAACCACCACCGCCTGATCCGTATTTCTTGCCAAAAACAATGACCTGCAGCTTGTCATAACCAGCAAGCACACCAGCACCAGCAACAGCACGCAGGATGTTTGCACCAGCACCCTTGAAGAGTGATTTAGCACCTTCATTCTTCAAAATCTGACTAAACGCATCCAGAGAGCTCTTGTACTTGACAGCTTCTCCGGAGGTCATCATCATTCTTCTTCGCACTGTATCAATGGGGTATGAAGCCAAACCAGCTCCAATTGTGATTCCCCATCCCAGTAAAAAGCTAGCGAAGAAACTATCCTGTAATCACCAATATTTACTAAATGTAAGCATACAGCTTTGCTAACAAACACAACATATCCATCAAGGATCAGTTAAAACATTTTTGAAGTTCACCACCAGCTCTTATGAAAAAAAAAACCAATCTCTAAGCCAAATTCTAAACTAACAATATGGTCTGAAATGCACCTATAAGCAAACATCAATCAACATCATATGGAAGTAATAATATCTGAGGAGTGATGATAGAGGGATACATAGGATAATGCAATAAGCAAACAAAATGAGCGATTCAAAATCTCTACATACCTGCAACCCTCCGACTAGTACCACAGGTTTCAAAGAGTCATACATTCCAAAGTAGAGTCCACGGTACACTATAATCCCAACACAAGAGATGTTGAATCCACGATAGAGCCCTGCAACGCCATCAGACTTGATTGTCTTCTTGTAGACGTCGATCAAACCATTAAACTGCCTCTCACCACCCTTCTTAGCCGCCTTAGCATCATTAGCCAGACGAGTTCTAGCATAGTCAAGAGAGTAAACAAAGAGAAGTGATGAAGCACCAGCAGCTCCACCAGATGCCAAGTTCCCAGCAAACCATTTCCAGTAGCCATCTCTGTCTTTCTTGAAGTTAAACAGTCTCTTGAAGTAATCCTTGAATGCAAAGTTCAGGGCCTGGGTAGGGAAGTATCTGATAACATTAGCTGTGTTTCCTCTCCATAGAGCAATGACACCTTCATCCTTCATAGTTCTGGCAAAGCAATCAGAAATTCCCTTGTATGGTTCAGACAGTCTACCAGCCTTAATCATTTCATCCTGATTCTGGATCAAAAGCTTAACACGCTCAATTGGAGCAGCTGCGGTCTTGGAAACAGCAGCAGAAACTCCTCCCATAAGAAAATCCACCAGAAAACCATAGGCTCCTTTCTCTGATGGAGCTTGTACATGTATGGGAGAAAGAGGTGCAAGTGCCAAGCCATTGCCCTGTCTTGTTGGCAGCAAAGAATTCTGCAAACCTCCATTAACATAACCAGTCACATTATAATTACGGGTGTGCAAACTGGGGGACAGCTTGGAAACGAAGTAGGACTGTCCCTGAATTTTCTGAAATACTGATGGATGGTGTGATCCATCTGCCATGTTAGAAGCTCAAGACGGTGACCTGCAAAGGGAGATATGTTCAACAAATTTTAGATATCCAACAAAACACGTTATTAATTTTCCACTGTACACAACTGTCAATCAATCATACAAGACATATGTGGTCCTTCCATTTTAGGTAACAAGGATGATCTATTAAATAACACATTCTGGTTTGGATTAAATACAACCATCAATTCCTTATCTATAAAAAAGCTGCACTTAAAATCAGGAGTAACATCTCAGCTTCAATTCCTCCACCAGATCAAAGGTATTGAAGTTTGAAATGAATAATCTTTCATTTTGAAAATGATTACGTGAGACAACATGAGGTAGCAACACCCATTTTGACTCAAAATCAATGGCAGGATCAGCAACATCAACCACGTGAACCCAGCAAAGTCAAACATGAACAAGACAATAATATTTCTTATAAATTGCACCTCATATTGCGAAATTAATCAATGAAATATGCCGTATTTGTTATCATTTCCCTCACCCAATTACTTTCAAAAGGTTTGGACAAAAATGACAACATTTACCAGGAATTAATAAAATGGCTTTACTTAATGATTCATTAAATATTTATCAATACACCCATTTAGAGGAAAAAACTCACCCTCTATAACACTTAAAACTTGAACTTCCTCACTTCTCTTCAAACCAATTAACACACTCATCTCTTATCTTGTTCTCATTTGTACACATCACATTGATTAGTTCATTGTTTAAACAAACTAAGAAGGAAAGGATCTACAAATTACCAAGTTCATCTAAAGTGGTACAGAGAAGACTTCATGGTTTCAAGTATTTTGATCATCTCTCTTGTTAACTAAACTCGTCTGATCAGTAAAACTCACATTATGATCGTAGTTTGCAAAATCACCTAAGAGTAATTAATATTCAGAATTTGGTTGTGGAGTTCACATACTGGAAATTTGCAATTTCTCGAGTAGCTGAAAGAAATCTTAGTGCTCGAGAGTTTTCTACGCTGCTCAAGTATTTGTAGTTTCCCAAAATTTCACGATTCTAACAATTTTTTGTCATTATTTTGACACTGGTAATTAATTATTTGGATCAGGAAAATCAATTGTTAGGATACTTAAATAAGAACTTTCACAGGTTTAAAAAACAGAAACAGTGACAGAAATGTCATTGACTATAATAAAAGCGTACAACCATGATCTTTAGCTGACCATTTCCAGATCGTTTCATTTCTTAAGTTTCATGTAATTTCTCGTCAACCAAACAGAGAGTAATTAAACTATTAACATATAAGAGTGAGCACAGATCTAAACAACCAAGCACAAAAAATAAAGATCCAATAGAGCAAAGATGTTAACTTCAACGACTATAAGATGACAAGTTGAAACGACAAAAAGATTACACAGAGAGAACATAAAACGACATTAGATCTATAAAAAATAAAATGATTTAAGAGTAAAATGAACCTGAGTAGGTCGCCCAGAGTGAAAACTCCTGAAAATGAGGAAAACGAAATGGAAGAGAAGAGATATTTAAAGACAACATTTAGGGTTTATCAAATGACGCATTTCTCCCTGCTCAGGTTTTAAATTACTGTTGTCACATGGACTGAAACTTACTATAGATAGAACATGAATTTTTTTTGTATGATCGTGGACAGTATAGAATATACGCAGTCCTTAAATAATTAAATATAATGAGCTGAGATCGTATCGCATTTGATAGATAATCAGTGAGCACGCATATTTATATTTTAGAATGACAAGTTTTTAATAAGAAAATTGCTAAATTGTGGGGGATAATAATTTTGTCCTATCTCCTCAACCATGCTGAACCCACAGTCCGGCAGACCAAAAAAGAAGGGGAAAAAAAAATGGTGAGTGAAACAATTGAGACACAAAGTTACATTGAAGAAGAGGAAGATTTTCAGCTTCATTTACGCAATTTCAAGAATAAGAAATCTAAATCAGACACAGATAAATGAGGTTACAACCATTCTACATTATTTGTTCACTTAGCATGACATGTTGCACTTGCACAGTAATTAAAAAAGGGTTCGAGGATGTACATGTATTTTCAGGTAAAATTGAAGTGAGAAGCTTCAACTTCAGAATTGGTGGTTACAACACACAGCAATTTATTCAAAGAATTAAGACCATTAAATGGAAGTTGAAAGATGGTTAAGCAGAACACAATGAAGCCTTCTGCCTTGCCAGTAATTCTTTTAGTTTCTTTATATGCTGAGTATTAGAACACATGTAATCCTGGAAGGACTTCCTCAATTCCTGCAACACTTTTTTATCACTGCCAGTGCTCATGTTAAGCAGCTTCGAGAAGAGATTCTTCCACAGTTCAACATTCCAATATCTGAGGAGAATTTGGACAAAAATAAAATAAAATAAGCTAAGAGAGTTTCCATGAATAATTGCATGTGAATTTAACACATTAGTATTCTATGAAAAGCACAAAATTGTTTTTTACCGTCTGAACGATGACTTTGGTAGATAAATGAAGCTACCACCCGGTGACGCTTTCTTTTCAACCTCCATATAAGAGCTGTGCAGCATCATGTGAACAACAACACACAAACCATATGTGTCTACCTGGTTACAGTGACACAAAGTGAGCTGACAAAACTATATATTTTGGTACCACATTTTTTAGTTGGGACTGACCTGAAACGTCCATGGCTTCTTCTCTTGCATTTCAACACAGCAAAAGCCAGAAGTACGACAATCTCCCTCAAATTCTGTGTTGTCAGGAAAAAGATGCAGATCTATTCCCCTTCCCCAATCAACAAGGCAAAGTCCCTGCCCAATAAGCTTTTAGCACAACTGTAAAGAAGTAGAAAATAAAAGCTAGTCTCTCATGGTACCAGAATTAACCTGATCACGCCAAGGGCCACTGCGGTCATGAAACTCATGCAATGTAAGATCATCCCTGGGAAGATATCAGGTAATCAATCTCAATTACCAATCTCTAAAGGATACTATTTGCAAGATGAAGATTAAACTGAAGAAAGCATAAAATTATTAATATGGTAACAAAGAATGTGGGCCAAAACTGGAATAGAAAAGTAAGCATTAAATAAAAAAAAATATGCCATCTTTCACATTGTTTATAACAGAAATATAGACAAAAATGGTAGAAAAATCTTCAAGGATACTAGGAAAGCGATTTTTGGCAAGACCCTATGCTTCTCACCGTACAGTCCAAGAACACCAGCTAATATAAGAAGACACAGAAGCAAGTTCATTAATTGCATCGCCTTTACTTTATGTAAACTTTGACAACTAGAGGCAAAAAGTTCTGCACAATGTATGATTTCCATGTATATACGTAACACAAGCAAGTAGTTTACGCCCAATAAATGATGCATAATCGCCCAAAGTACAGTAAATCTTCTCAAAAGGGAAATATACCTAAATTATGAAAATGCATGTGTTGACAACAAGGAAAATGAAAACCAGTTCTGCAAAAGTTCAAGGATTATGAGATGAGTAGTAGTTAGAACCAGTTATACCACTAAAACCACATTAATGTCCTAACACTAAATTCCCCTTAAAATATAGTTTCCATCATTTTCTTGATAGATTCAAGAAAGCTAGTCTTATCCTCCTAGATATCAAGACTTTTCTTGTCAAACTTCTAGAAAAGTTTAAATCAAAAGAATTGAAATCAGGTCATGCCATGGTCAACAGGATAAAAACTAAAAGAATATACTAGCGTCATTTAATTGCCAAGCTTACAAAAAAGTTTAAATGGAAAGAACTGAAAAGTTAAAAATGGTTTTTACCTTGCATAGCGAATAAGCAGATTATCTGGTTTGAAATCACCATGAATGATGCCTACATTGTGCAAAGATTCCAGGATACAGAGCATCTCTATTGTGTAATAAATACATAACACCTCTTCCATGCACTTGCCAATAACCACATAAGAATTTATGGCATCCTGCACATGTTTCCATTTTATCCATTTAGTACAAAAGATTTGCCTGCTATAATAGCTAACAAATGCACACTAAAAGACCAACCTGGAGCGTCCCTTGGGGCAGATAGTCGCAAACAAGTATGCTATAGTCTGAATAAAGATGAATTCTGTGTGCAAAACCGAAGTTTGACCTCTGATAACATTAGATCTTGAATAAGTGGCTGTCTCAAAATTATACAGCACTGCTAAATAATGAAAACACTGAGGAAACACGTACTTCCTTTTCTGAGATGCGCTGATCAAGCTGCCGATACATGTAAAACTCCCAAGGGAAAGCAGGCTTTTGTATCTGCAAGAGACTTTCAGCTATTAAACAAAATCTAATATGAAATCTGCTCTCGGCGGATGGAAAGTAAACTATACCTTTAATGCGACAACATCATCAGGATTACTGTTTTCACAAGCCTTAAATACTTTAGCAAAGCCACCTTGACCAGCACAACCCTTGATCTGGTACTTCTTTCCACCTGAGTATTATAGTATAACTGTAAGTATGCATGACTGTATGAATAGGCTGGCCCATGCGCATTGAAGCTAAGAAACACAACTATACTGGTGGCCTTCCTTTTTTCCGATTAAACTTTCCCACCCAAATATTGTTAACACATTCAGCATTCTATATATTTCACGTAATAAACATTCAGATCCTACCATCTAGACTCAAAGGTAGACTCACACGGTCTAATTATGAGCAAGAAAAATGTACAAAATGACATAAGTTTAACAATTTCCAAGAAGAAAGCAGAATAGTTTATTAGTCTGAACACAAACAAATAGTTAAAGAAAATCTGCAATAATGAGATTTTACTTGGACTTTCCTTTGTTGAAGTTTCCTGAATACAGATGTATCGTGTATGCAATTAATTGAAAATCATCTACTTATCTTCCAACTGATTTTACAACATGAAATTCTAGTTTAGTTTTATTTGAGATAGAAAGTTTAACAATTAAAAAGAGCCTCCACCCATCATTACAAATAATGCTACCCTAATGCTCAAAACAATTGGAATTTCTTTCATGTAATTATAATTAATGAAAAATGGCATAAAAAAGAAAATCACCTATCTCAACAATCTTATTCCTTGACGAATTATTTAGAGAAGATAAAGCAACCTTTCCTGGGTAAGCTTTATTACTTGGATGGTAACCCTGAAATAAAGTAAAGACAGCTAGCATTAGCAAAACTATTGATCAGGCTAACATAGACTCATGCCAATGGTAATAGTTGAATTGTCTCACATCATATTTAATAATTTGACGATTTATCTTCTTCAGTAGATCTTTCACGGTGGAGCTAGCCCATGGGTTAATACTACTTTTTCCAGACTCGATGAATTCATCAATCTGCCAAAACAAAACAATACAAATATATCAGTTTCATCACCACTTCATTTAAAATATTTGAAAGAGAAACATTTCGTAAAACAAGGGAGTATCTCATAAACAAAGAAAGGACAAGATGTACAATAAAATCGTAAGAGTATTCGAGCAGTGCATAAAATTCAGTGATTACTGATATATCATAATCCTCCAAAGAATTATACCCTGCCAGAATGTCCTTTTCTTTTGTCACTGGTATTGACATAAATGACCAAGCCTGTCTCAAATGTCTGATAATATTTATCTCAAAACCAAATGATTATGCATATACGACCATACCTTCTGAAGTGAAGAACCACCAAATCTTTCAGACATTCTATCAAGAAATAGGGATTGTGCCTCCTTCAACTGCTCAAGAGGTTCCGCTTTCCTATTAGCCAGAAATAACAGCATTAAAGATGTGGCATAAACCCATCAAACAAAGAGAAAAAAAAAAATCACAATTGAGAGTGATGAAGACCTTGAAATACCCGTCTGATAAACCATATGAGCATCCTGCCACAACCCTTTTGCTTCAAGAAAAAATGCATACCACTGATATAGCAAAGAATGGCCGATACATATCTCAGTCTCCTCCATTTCTTTGAAAACCTTTTCAAAATCTTTACTGCCCTCCAACTGCATAAACCCGAATTAACCAATCAGATAACTTAAATGAAACAGAAGAAGTTCAAACCCATGAAAATTTACAAATCTACCAATAGACCTCGTTCAATTGAAGTTCAAAGATGATTGTTCCAGGAATTATAATTGCCAACACATAAATCTCTGTCTGACTCCTACAAACACTTTCATATATTTACTAACCCAAAAAACCCAAGTGCATATGTATATATATCAAGCAATCAACATGTAAAGCAAGTTACAACGGCCAACACTCATTTACTCTAAACCAATTCTGTATATACACTTCAAAAATATTTATTAACCTCTCTACAGGGGCCCTAAAACACCAAATAAACTCATCAAATAATATAATCCCCCCCCCAAAAAAAAAAAAAAAAAAAAATATACATGATATAAGTATCAAATCTACAAATACGAGAACAGGCTGTTAGATTATAAAGCAGATTGAAATTCCTTCCCATCTTCGCCCCTTTAAGCTCGCAACGACCACATGAATCCGTCAATTTATTTCACCTCACAAAAGAAAGTTAAAAGATATATTTTAAGAAATAACAACATGAAGAACATCAGTAACTAAGATCGGCACAACACGTATCTCATCCTCCTCCTATACGC